TTTTTTTTTTTTTTTGTTTCCATCAAATGGGAATCTGGTTGATGTGTACGTCTGTCCATTGCTCTCAGGTTTCTAACATGTGTTGTAAGCGTGTGCTTGGTGTGTTCAAATGTCTTCCAGATGTGTGGTTCCAAACCAACAGAAATGTCAGCGGAGTGGAAGCAAGGAATGTTGAATGAATGATTGAATGGATGGACAAATGAATGAATGGATGGCAGACCGGAAACCGCTTCAGCTGTCACACCTTTTGACTTTGCATGTCTGATTCGACGTGAAATCACATGTAGGAAAAAAATTAAAAAAAAAAACACTCATTTGTTTCACGCCTCTAGACTTAGACTTAAAAGACTGGCTGCTCAGTTTTTAATGATGTCCTACTCTTTGCCTACTTGAGTACAATTGGACCCCTGTTTTCATGGCGAATCCTTCACATTTTATCTGGGATACCTGCTTCAGATCAGGACTATTTTGGCAAAATTTTGTAGGAGTTCGTCAGAGCCCTGGAATTTGCCTCAAATGGCTGCTTCAACCATTATCTTGTTGTATTTCAGTCTTGGGTCCTTGAGGCTTTTTAGCAGAGTTGGGCATACTAATACACTAATATACAATATACTTTTGCTTATGCTATTCAGGGTCAGAGGGTGCTGAATTTACAACAAGCCAATCAACTGATTATTTTATGAATGAATAACAACATTTTGAAAAATTCATTTGAACTATCCAATTTTAGGGGTAAATCGCTAAATTAATGCAAAAAAAAAAATTACAGGACTCTCTATCTTGTATAATGCAAATACTGTACTTGTGTGCCATATGACTTCGCCGTATGTGGACCGTGGGCCATAGTTTGCACATTACCCGTTTTAGTACCTGCTAGACGCCTGCTAAAGAATATATAATAATTTAACCTTATATGTTGTTAGTATGTTATGTGTTATTCATTTGGAACAGTAGTGAAATAGTCAATCCATGACAGCAATGGGCGAAAAGGAGACGAAGAAGAAAATGAAACCGGAAGCGGAAATCAAACGAGGAAGTTTTATAGCGACGGACAGTCCTCCATAGTCAATCGTCTGGTAACATGAGTCGCAATTGATCACAGCAAGGTCCTATTCTTGATTTGAGTGTTTTTAAATCGTTTCGGTATAGAGTTTTCACAAACATGGAGGCGAGGTTCGACGGCAAGGTGGCGTCGATCGTCGAGCTCGCCTTCCAAGCCACCGTGTCGGTCTTCAGGGGGGTGTGGGAGGAACAAGCGCCAAACTCGGCTTGGGAAGAAGCGACGATCGGCCTTCTTGGCGGTCTACGGGAGATCGAGCGCGGTCTGCTAGCTCAGCTTCAGCGGGTGTTCGCCGAGTTGTGCGACGAGAACGAGGAGCTGAAGATCAAAGTCGAGCAGTTGGAGGACGTGATGCAGAGGAAGGCCGGACAACTGGAACAGGAGCTGCACGTCCGGGTAGGACGGCTAGGCAGGGATATGGAGCTGCTGGAGAAGGAGCTAAAGAGCATCAGCGATGGAGGAACTGCGGCAGGAGGCAAGCATGATACTAAAATGCCTACTACAGACTAGGGTAGAATGATTTTGAAAAGAATCCACTTGAAATATGCTACTCGTAACCATATGGAATGTTTAAAACAATATTATTAACCATCGGAAATTTGATTATCATCATCCACTCATGTATTGAAATGAACTGCAAACGAGAAAAGTTATCCAGTCATTAATTTGCCATAATGTCATTAATTCCCTCTCTGAATGAACGCAGAAGTCTCACTGTTGTCAGTCTCCGCCGACCAGACTGCTGCTGACACAGAATCCAGTCTGAGTGTCTCGGAAGTGGGACATGACGAGGCAGTCCTGAGTCCTAAAACGGACCCCCAGGCCGCTGTCGCCCCTGTGATGATTGTCAGCGGGGTCGGCGGCCCACCCACCATGCTCATTGTGGAAGATGGAGAGTCTCCCACACAGGAGATAACCGAGGCATCCTTTGTGACACAACTTGTCCTTCAACCTGCGGTCTCACCGCAAGATGCTCCAAGTCCCGATTCCTGCCCACTTAGCAATAAGAAGCCAGCCCAGGAACAAGCTGAGAAACAGGTTTGGTGTCTCAGACATTGGCTTCACCCCATGGCGCATATTTATAAGCACCAAAATATTTGATATTCACCACATAGCTTTGGTCATGCCAACATGTAAAAAAAACTACGTAGGTTAAATGTCAAACTCACAGCAATGCCAAATAAGTCAACAACACACACATTCAAATTTTCGGCCGTTTTCATCCAATGGTCTCCGTATTTGGTGGACATGCAGAGGATACACTGCTTCCCCAGTTGATTTCTTTGGTGGTGATTTACTTTCACCTCAAGAATCAAGAAAGTTCACTAGTAAACAAATCAAAGATTAAATTGGAACAAGGCACATAGAGTTGGATGCCAAATTATAGGTCTTGATAAGAGCTTTCTAGATTACTAGTTAGTTTGTTCATCTGTGTTTGTATGGCAACATAATGAGGAAAAAGCTTTTAATATTTGGTTTGTGTGACAGGGCTCAGTGGAAGAATCTTCATCAGGAAGACCGAGAAGAACACGAAAGCCAAGCTTCAAAGTGGAAATGGGTAACTAGGATTTGATAGCAGGTTATGTAACAAGTGAACCTATTGAAGTTGCATAATTTTGGAATTCCATCAGGTTTAATGGGAAATGGGTCTTTTAAGTCGCTCTGTAGTAAACTACTATGAAATATTGCCTTAGACCAAAAAAAAAAAAAACATGCCCCCAAAAAGGTATATCGTATAAATATCATGTCACTAATATATATATATACCTAATATTCCTAAGGTATTCCACAATATGTTAGACAAAATATCCCAAATAACAGTACTAGAATTTTTTTAGACAAAAATTGCTGAAAGCCACAATATGAAAATGTGAAAATAGTACAAAACATTATATGCAAGTACCGTATTAGGAAAGTAGACAATGTGCAAAATATTTCTATACAAATATGATGATGTTTTTTGATCATTAAAAATATTAGAAATATAATTCTCCCCCACCACAAATATGACAAACATTAGCAAACAAAAATATTAAAATAGTAGACATATACCGGTACACAAGTGTTAGGAAAAATCTAATGTACAATATAAATATTTAACATGTTTAAAAAATATGAGCAGTGTCGTCATACACACAGTAACTCATCAAAATTAAGGTACACATCCTTTTATTATGTTTGTGTTTTAACATTAACTGTGGTTCACTTCTTTTAACACTTTTGTGACAGTTGGAGGCTGGAGCCCATTATTTCTGATGAGAATGCTTCCTCTAAATCCAAACAGACAAAAATATTGGATTTATGAGGTTTTGCTGCATTTGAATCGGATACAGGTTTCTTTTAAATGAAGGTCTTGTTGCCTCTCATCCCTCTCAAGCTCTGTCAGCGTCCGCCGACATAAGCAACGACGAGATGGACTCCGGCGAAGAGGATGAAAGCCCGAGAAAGAAGGCGCGGCGGAACGTGAAGCGCTTCTCCTGCGATGAATGCGACGCAGCCTTCTATTGGAAGGCCGATCTGAAAAAGCATGCGGCGCTCCACAAGCGGCCTTTCCCGCGGCAGCAGTGCGACAGGAGCTTCCCAGAGAAGTCGTCTCTGGAGGACCAGATACTGAGCCACCAGGTGGCGTCCAAGGCGCCACTGCCCTTCCCGTGCCCGCATTGCAAGCGCTCATACCGCAAAGAGGAGTCTCTACAGAACCACCTGAAGCGGCACCAACCCCTGGCGCAGCCTAAGCCTTTCGCCTGTGAGCAGTGCGGGAAGACCTTTCGTGTGGAGCGCTCTCTGGAGAATCACCTGTTGCGCCACCAGGTGAAGACATCATCTCACTCACAGCAACGGCAACATTTTATTCCATATCCTTTTGCTATTTTTTGCATTTAGAAAATCCTCCTGACTCCGCTGCTCTGCAACTGGCATTAAGTCTCGAAAGACTCAGTAAATCAGAAAAATCTCGACAGAGTTCAGTTGGTCTAACAAGGTTTTAAAGCTTCTCTGTTGGACCAAAACATTCTGAGAAACACTCTAATTGGTCTTTCAAGTATCTGAATAATTTTCACTTCACAAAGTCTCTAAAGACTCTTCAGATTATCGAACAAGTCTCTAGAGTCTTCCGTTTGTCTATCAAGATTTTGTTATTTGGTCCAAAAAGTATCCAAATAATCTGCAGTTGCTCCAAAAAAGTCTCTTCAATAGGGTAAAAATTATCCAAACAATCTTGAATATGTCCAAACGCCTCTTTATGCTCTCCAGCTATTCTAAAAAGGCTCAAGAGAGTTAGTCTATCCCTCGTGTTATCGGCAAACGTTTTTAGGCGTGACATATATTATTAGACACAACTTAACCTTATTTGGAAAAGGAAAAACTGATTTTGGTCCACAAATGAGTATACAGTTTTGTGTTTTGTGGCTCCAATGTCCTAATTTGTTGCCACAGAATACAGTAGTCTGGCCACAATAACGTGCACAATAAATGCAACTTTGTGGCCACAAAATACTAAATTGTTGGCAATAATTTGTGGCCACAGAATACGAAATTGTACAACATCCTTGTTTGTGGGCACAAATTTTGAGCCACATGTGCCCCAAAAATATTCATTGTATTTTGCTTTCTCTTCAACTGCATTCAGAAGTGGAAGGAGTCGCTCCAGTGCCCGCTGTGCAACAAGACCTGCAAGACGCCGGTGCAGCTGCGTGGCCACATGGTGGTGCACTCGGACGAGCGGCCCTTCAGCTGCGCCACCTGCGGCAAGGAGTTCAAGAGCAAAGACACGCTCCGTTTCCACCAAATGGTTCACACCAACGCCAAGAAGTACAAGTGCAACGTGTGCGACGAGACCTTTAAGTATGCCCATTCGCTGACCGTGCACAAGCGCAAGCACACCGGGATCACGCCGTTCGTGTGCGGTGTGTGTGGACGCTCATACCGCACCGGTACGGCGCTCAAACGGCACAGCGTGGTGCACACGGGTGAGAAACCATTCACCTGCCACGTGTGCGGCGCACGCTTCAGCCTCAACAACAATTTGAAGCGACACCTGCGCATCCACACTGGCGAGAAGCCTTTCACCTGCAAGGATTGCGGGAAGAGCTTCTCGGATAACAACAAGCTCAAGTCGCACATGCTGGTGCACGGAGCCCGAAAGCCATTTATGTGCGACCTGTGCGGGAAGACCTTCCTCTTCAATTGCCGCCTTCAGATCCACCAGAAATATGTGCACGCCAAGGAGGATGACAAGCCCAAGGTGTTCCCTCAAAGGCAGAGGAACAAGCTTCTGGTCAAGCCGTACAGCTGCAAAATCTGCCTGGCCAGCTTCAGTGCGGCCTGCTCACTCAAGCTCCACGAGAAGGGCCACAGTGAGCACAAGGAGTTCTCCTGCGCTTTGTGCGGCAAGGCCTTCCACAATAAGTACTCGTTCCGCTCGCACCAGCGCTCGCACTCGGGCGAGAAGCCCTTCGTGTGCGAGGTGTGCGGCAAGGGCTTTATCCACGCCGGCAGCCTCAAGCAGCACGAGCGCATCCACACGGGCGAGAAGCCGTACAAATGCGAGCAGTGTGGCAAGGCCTTTCGCACCGACGGAAACTTCTACCGTCACCTCCGCATCCACACAGGAGAGAAGCCCTTTGAGTGCGCTTACTGCCACCGCAAGTTCCACCAGTCCAACCAGCTCAAGTCGCACTTGCAGGTGCACACGGGCCAGAAGCTCTATTCGTGCCAGACCTGCGGACGAGGATTCTCTGATTCGAGGCAGCTCAAGAAGCACAGTTGCGATGGAACAGTTGTCCCAGTATTGTTAACATAAATGCTTTTTTTACGAGCTGGCAGTATTGAAAAAGAATGTCCCGAGCACTGTGCACAGCACCTGGTGCTTTTTTCCTGGGAAAACAATTCTACAGAAGCCCACACCCCACAAACTGGGTCTATTTGTTTTTTGTTTTTTTTATATAATAACAATAACATACCTCCAAATAGGAGAGGAATATCTTCAACACGGCTAGCCTCAAATCCGTCACCAATGTCATCACTGCACAACTAGTGTATTGATACAATCATTTTTTTTCTCTGAGGGCAGCACACTGAAAAATTGAATAATACTACAGAAGCCCACACCCCACAAACTGGGTCTATTTTTTTTTCCAATAATAATAACATACCTGCAAATAGGAGAAAATATCTTCAACACGGCTAGCCTCAGATCCCTCACCAATGTCATTACTGCACAACTAGTGTATTTATACAATCTTTTTTTTTTTTCTCTGAGGGCAGCACGCTGAAAAATTGAATAATGCAAGTGCCACTTCGGCATTCTGTGCCTTTAACTGAACATGTGAAAACCAATCCATCAAGCAATGATACAACCAATGACAATCACATTTCAGACATCCCCTACAGCGGGTGGGGGAAAAAAATGGATAATGGCTAGCCGGCCACAAATACCATTGTTTGGACACTACTGAAATTCACCTGTAGTATTATTGTCTGTCTTAACGCTAATATTACTCAGAATTATCAATAAAATCTCAATAGTAATTTATACCTTTTTCTGTTAAGGAAAAAAAAGCTGGAGAAGCTGTCTCATCCCCTCTGCAAATCCAAGACGTGCATCCTGTTGCCTTAATATGTATGCAGTGTGCACTAAATAGTATTTGGTGGCCACAGTAAAAATCTGTGACAAGATGAACTGGTTGCCCTTGCCAGTCAATCGCAAGGCGTGTGTGTGTGTGTGTGTGTGTGTGTGTGTGTGTGTGTGTGTGTGTGTGTGTGTGTGTCTTGCGTGTGTATGTTGGGATTCCTGCTTACTTGTTGTAAGCGCACACACACAAAACACAACCATCCATTCATTCATTCATGTTCTACACTTCCACATATTGAAGAGCTGATCCCTATTCCAGCTCGCTGTGGGCAAAAGGCCAGGTACGTGTAGACGATCTGGTCCAGGTATGTGTAGACAAAAAAAGCATTTACATTCACAGTTATGTACAGTTTTAGTGTCTTGATTTAACGGACCATGTTCTTGGATTGTGGGAGTAAGTTAGAGTAGCTGGATAAAACCCACAAAAGCATGGGGTGAACATGCAATCTGCAAAAACATTAGCATTATTAATCCCCAAAATGACAAATATCCTATTTTCTTAAGATATTTTCATAAATAACAACTGTTTGAAATATTTTAGTACAATACAGGAGTGTGATTTACTCTGCATTATAACTGCATTAGTTGAGTGTTTTGGAGGATGTGCAAAATTAAATATTTTATTTTGAAATTTATGACGTTTTATTTTGAAGTCCCAAGGTCGAGCGGCTTAACTTGTGGGGTGTGTTAAAGGGGCTGCGAACTAACGGAAGCTGCTGTTAGTGAGAGTCTGCAATAAATCACACGTCCCCAAAAATGCCTGAAAGTTTGGTGTTTTATTCCCAAACTAATGCCATTTTGGAGACTCTTATTAGGTGTGCGCTGGATTTAACTGCTGGTCAGGTCAAAATGAACCATTCTGTGAAGGTAAATATTGAATGCTGTGTTTATTTTAAAATTTCTGCCAAAAAAAGTATTGACGATTGGGATCGATCAGTTTTTACAGAGATGTTACATTGGAATACAAGAAACTAAACTAAGATGGCGCCTTGTCGCGTATCTTCGGCAAGCTTAAAGTTTCCACAGAGACTTTGGCTCTCTTTAATCTTGTCTCGTTATTTTCTTGTTTAGTCTTGGTGGTGTTAATAGTTTAAGTGGTTTAACTTGTGTCTATGGAATCTGACTGTACGAATTATTATATCGCCGTTGAACTTCGGCTAAGTGTTAGCTTTTTGTGTCACTTGACGCTAGTGGGAGCGCCATCTAGAGGCCTGGCTGGCCACATTTATCAGTTCGCAGTAGCGCCATCTAGAGACCTGGAGGACGACACGCAAGTACAGAAGCGTTTCCAAAACAAATGACAACACCGTGGGAGCTCTGCATAAATTTATCACAAAATGTGATCTGATAGTCAGCTAAGCTACTACAATAGACAAACCGTCTTACTAAACGGATACCAAACGTAAAATTATGTTTTCCATGCTGATATTTAACACGAATTGACACTTTGTAATCATTGACAGTGCTGGATGAAAAAAAAAGTATCATCCTCCAACATCGGACTCAGCCCACTTAGAGTGCACTCACTATTGAGGTTGGAGGAGTTGGTTAAATCCTGATGTGAACAAAAAAAAAATAATGTAATCACTTAAAATTAATTAATTCCAGGTAACAAAGCCGCTCAACCAGTGCAACACTTAAAATTAATTAATTCCAGGTAACAAAGCCGCCCAACCACTGGTCAGATAACAGTTTTGATGCTGTCAGGGACTAAAGTGGTCTGAAATTAGATAATGGTACCTTCCTCAATGTTTTATGTACAGAAAACGTATTCATCTTCATATGTTTGTATCTGCTCCGAACAGGTAGGATTTGACAAAATGGTGGAGCTGCTGGCTCAGGAGGCAAGCAGAAAGATCAACTGTGTTTTCCTCCAGCTGTTAGACACCACCACTAAGGAAAAGCTGATCCTTCAGGACAAAGTAAGTGAGCTGGAGCGCCAGTTGAAAGCGGTCACTGAAGACTTTGATGTCATCCGAATATGGAGGGAGAACGTGTTGACTGGATGCCCTGTGCTCAATGAGCAGACGGGATGGGTCTTCACCCTGAAGCCTTTCGGTGTATTGGTGAACTCAGATGAGTTAGCAAAGGAAGACACTGAGTCCACAACGTCAGCCATCGTCATACGCATCAAAGGTGCATTTGTAATTACCGGTATATTGTGATGTTCATGTCTGAATATTAACTAAAATGTTCCCTTTAGAAGAGTCTGCGTTGGTGGAGGTGAACGGTGGAGCCGAGGCATCATCAGCCAGTAGACAAGGTAAACTCATGCAACTTTTTATGAGTGTGGTGACTCTGCATTTGGGTAAGAGAGGATCGTTCGCCAGCATATAACACTCTTCTTTTATGACCATTGTCTGCTATAAAACTATCTTCAAATAATGTGTTTCGTCCACTCCCTTGATGCCCCACACCAAATGTACATACAAAAACAACCCTAAAGTGGGCTGTCCAAGTTTCATAGATCTTATCTTCTGTAAGATTTAGGTTGTACTGCAATTGTTGTATCTAATGTGTACCTTATGCTTTACTTGAATTAATAAATGCCATACCAGAAATATGTGCATACAAATCCAACATAAACAACTGAATCGTTAGCAGCCTGAAACTGCACCAGCGAGCTTACCCTCAGTGAGACAACAGAGGCGGCAATCTCTGCTGTATTTATGCAAATAATGTGTAGGCTTTGCTCCACTTGAACAAATTATAACCTCAATTATAACACCAACAACTGAAGTTTAATGTCCTGAAAAAAAAAGGGATCTTCCCCTTGGTAAGGATGAAAATACAACTTTATTCTTATAGCATTACACCTTTTTTTTCTTTATTTTTTTTCAATTCATTGTAACATTTTTACTTTTTTGTTCAAAATAGGCATCTTTTATTTCTATGGCATTTTGAGCTACATGAAGTACTTCATGTTTAATTGTCTTAAAGGTTATGAGGTGCTCAAAAAGTTTACATACAGGCCATGGGGGTGAAAACAAATCAGAAAAATTACTGGCTGAGATAGCCAGTGTGTAAGAAACTGATTCGTCCAACTGTATTCTACAGACATTGCCGAGGAAGACAACACAGCTGCATCCTCCGACTCCCAGAATCCTTTGCAAACTGAAGTCACTAAGAAAGTGTTTGAATGTGACGTGTGCAGTAAGAGCTTCAGTCGTCAGCTCCACCTCAAGAAACACTTGGACACCCACAAAGAGTCTCTGAGTTGCCACCAGTGTCCCAGGATCTTCCGCCGCAGGGCTGCACTCGAGCGCCACCTCCTGCGTCACAAGGACAAGACGCTTCACTCCTTCACGTGTCCTATCTGTGACAAGACCTTCAAGAACAAGAAACTGCTCAAGTCGCACGAATCGGTTCACGGTGACGACACGCGGCCCTTTGCCTCCGGTACACTGCAAAAACTAAAATCGAAACAAGATAAAATACACTTCTCACAACAAGGTCGGGATATTTGGCTTTTGGATGGAATTTCTGGATGAACCTAAAAGTCACTATGTTTCAGACCCACCCACAATCTGATCTGTAAAAATCTTTGATATGGGACATAAGACTCTTAAGAAATGCAGTTCAATTTTGCTATTGGGAGATAATTGAGCTATCCTTTTAATGACTTTTTTGTTTGTTTGTGTTTTTTTAAGACCAAGTTTCTCATGGTAAGGCGTTCACCTGCGAAACGTGCGGTGCCGGCTTCACGCTGCAGCAGAACCTCAAGCGGCATGCCCGCATCCATACGGGCGAGCGACCGTTCAAATGCCACGTGTGCGGCGCCAGCTTCGTCCAGGATAAGCTGAAGGCTCACATGCTGCTCCACGGCGCCACCAAGTCTTTCATGTGTGACTTGTGTGGCAAGACCTTCCTATACAATTGGCAGCTAAAGAAGCACCAGAAAGTGGCGCACCAGGAGGGCACTGAGGCAGGCATGCAGGCAGGACAGCGAAAGGTCCGAGCACGGGAAAACCGCACTGTCATCTTCAAACGGGACAGGTAATGGAAAATTCATACTATCTTAGATTGATTTATATACATTTGCATCAGGCTTGAATAGAGTGTGTGACTTGCCAAATACTCAATACTAGTCACTGCTCCACCGTGCATTTTTTAGCAGCCCACAGCATATTCTCAAAACGTATACTGTACAGTATTTCGTGCTACTCAGGAGCCACAAAGGAACACACACTGAACTAAATACGTGCATGTATCCAAAATACATGCTCTTAATATATTTCATTTTTCACAATACATTTCTCAATGCATGTATCAACGATCCACTATCCTAACCCAACAACAAAGGGTTTGAAGCAAACAACAAAATAAGGACAAACTGCAAACAAGAAAATATATAAAGTGCAAGAACTAATTTTGCAAGATGACATCCATTCTAGAGGCCTACAATGAGAGAGCCAGATTAATTTAGCAGATTTGTGATTCTGGTTACGCATTCGCAAATTTATTTCACGCATTTGCAGTGGTGTGCAAAGGTGTGTTTATACCCACGGACACCGACAGTGGTGATGCCTGATGGCTGCTACAGAGCATTATTGCTCGTCTGGACCCTGAGTTGGGTGCCTGCAGCCTCCGCCCCCTCGGCCCACACACTGCACATCTATGAATCTGGTTACAGATTTTTTTTCCGATACAAGTACCTATTTTTTAATAGTTTTGCTAAAATAATGGCCTGAAGTATCCTTCTATTTTTCTGTATATGAAAGATTTGGTATTCATTTTAAATTTAACTTTAACAACAGGACCACCGTGGAGTTGGCAGCATTCGCCTGCAAGACGTGCCAACGCGGGTTTGACTCGGAGGTGGCGCTTACGAAACACGAGCTGCTCCATACGGGCAGCACCCCGTATGCTTGCGACGTATGCGGCAAAGCCTTCCTCTACAAGACCACCTTCGACTACCATCTTCGCACGCACTCGGGCGAGCGGCCCTATGCCTGCGACGTGTGCGGAAAGACCTTCATTATCCACCACGCGCTGAAATCGCACCGGCTGCGACACACGGGTGAGAAGCCACACGCCTGCGAGCAGTGCGGCAAAGCCTTCCGGGTGTACACCAACTACCGGAGACACCTCAGGATCCACACGGGCGAGAAGCCGTACGAGTGTGAGGTGTGCGGGGTCAGATTCCGCCAGCTTGGACACGTCAAGTTCCACATGCAGGTGCACACGGGCGAGCGGCCATACGCCTGCTCTGCCTGTGGAATTGGCTTTTCCGACTCCAGACAACTAAAGAGGCACACGTGTGCTGGGAAAGAGCTGGGGAAGACTTTGCTGACATCTTGACTCACAAGAATTGTTTGACACAATAAAATAAACATATTTTTCACTTTAGTGAATTCAGAGGCCTTTTATTTTGAAATGGAACATCGGATCTGAATGCCAATACTGTGGTTGGATACCTGGGGTTCCGGAGTGTGTTGAAAACCTGGTGTGGTTGCGGGATAACTACGATTCATTTTTTCATGCTTTTTTTAAAATATCAGGGTAAATTTTAGTCATTGATTTAGAGTTGCCATTGACCTTATCTCAACTACAGAACGCTTCTTGGCGCTACTCTGTGAGAGTTTTCCTTATCTCTGGGTGAACTCATCGTTGCCCGACACCTACAATAAATTATGTAATAAAATCCTAACCACTGACGTGCATGCATTACATGTACTGTAGTTGCAGCGCTATTATTTTGAAGGTGGCCAACGCCGCTCGCTGGCGGCAGATTACCGTAATGTACAGTATTCACAATCGCTGTGGCGGCTGGTTTGACTTCAATTTTGCGAGTGGAAGCTATCCTGACCGTAGTAGTCGTATACCGAAGTAGTCTTTGCTCCATGTGGATTCGAGTCCGCTTCAAGACCGTGTCAAATGGGGGACTTTGAGGCGCGAGCCACATCCATTTTGGAGGATATGGCGAACAAAGCTGTGATGGAAATGTGCAAAGTTGTCTTTTCCTCCGACATGACTCAAGAAGTATTTTGGAGCGAGGAAGACCACGTTCTCGTTTCAACTCAGGACAAGGTACATTTTATGACTTCTTTCTTATTGCGCCTTTCCGCCTGTTCGTAGGAATAGAAGCGCAAGCTCGCTAGCCACTTCAGCATCCGAATTTTTGCCAAAAAAATAAACGGTCTCGAATGTATTTTGCGGCTAAAATCAATAACAGTGCGTAATTTGTATCAAAAAGCCACGTTTTGCTAGCTTGTGTTTCGATTAACACCGGACAATCTCGTGGTTGTGTGTCTATATACAGTGACATGTGATCGACCAATCGAAGAAAAGTCACTACATAGTCTTAAAATTGTTAAAAATGTAATCAAACAGATTAGTTTGCACGACATGAGTGTGACGCTCGTCAGCCGCTTGCAGGCCTGGCTCAAGAGCTGCTTCTATAACCTCCTGATTCTGATTGTCTTCTTTTTAAATGGGTTGATGACCGATCTTTATTTGACAAAAATAAGAGCACAAATGGACAATATAGTCATCAACACTTCGCCATGGCGGCACCCGTACATCCGAGTGTCTGAAACTGCTTGCGCCATTACTAAGTAAACAAACGGTACAAACCCATGTCATTTGACCAAAGCCAGGCGACAGAGAGAACATAAATGGCTTTAATGATATATTCGCCTTCTTCTATACAACTGTAGCTTAAATGTATGACACGTAAAGCCGAAATAAAATGTGTTACGTGTGGTAAATAATTTACCACACGTAACACATTTTATTGCAAGTAATTTACCGTAAATTGCTTGCAAGGAAGGCGGAACACCACCCATAGTTTATAATTAAATTAGGAAAGTAGATTCAAAATTCGAAGTGGTGGAAATTGAGACAGGCATGTCAGTCTCACAGTTCTGAGGTTGAGGTTCAAATCCCCATCCTTATGTGGGTTTTCTCTGGGCACTCTGGTTTCCTTCCACATTCCAGCATGCTTGGTAGATTCATTGGAGACTCAAAATCATCCCTCGATGTGAATGGGTGTTTGTCTATATGAGCCTCCACTTACTGCCCCAAGTCAGATGGAATAGGCGCCAGCACACCTGCAACCCTGTTGAGGATTAGGTTTATAGAAAATTGATGGAAATTGTTGAAATTCATACTTGGTTAACATGATCATTGAGGGATGAGCTAATTTACTTTTTTGTTACTCAAGATATGAGCACGGGTATGCGCTTTCAAAAATGGTAATTTGAGCTGTAGAACTGACGTGGCATGGTAGGTTGAACATGTATATTTCTATCTATTGTTTCCATCAGGTGATCCATCTAGCCAACACCTTCATGACATTGCTGGCTCAAGAGGCGGTCAACAACATCTGCCAACTTTTCCATGAATGTACTGCGCTGCTGCAGGTGCAGGTACGTCCCTTTCGTAATTCAAATTCACAAAATTTATGCAGGGATTCACATACAGTGGTGAATGTGATTAAAGTCCTAATGTTGATTGAGTATGTACAGTTTTTGGGTGCAAAAAAAAAAAAGTCTGAATATTTGCTTTTTTAAAATGAAGTGTCCTCCCCCCTTCTGTGGTTGGGTGGGTTGTTGTGTGGTGTGCAACATTCAAGGTGTAATGCCGGTCTGGTCAGATGTTAACATTTCAAATCTAACCAAGTCTGATTTTGTTTTTCATGGTAATTATTTAACATTATGGGACATTTTGCGCACATTCTCTTGAAGTGGTCAATGAGTTATGTAACTTGAAAAGTATGAGGAAAGATTGTATTTACACTTGACAGCATTATTTTCTTTCAGTCCTTCTTTAAGCCTAATTTTCTCATTCTTTCCCAGAAGCCATTTTGTGCAAGACTGATCTGGAATATGAATAATTTAAATAAATATGAATAAGACTCCTGTTCTGTGCCCAGGTGACGCAGGGGGAGGCGCAGCTGGAGGACCTGAGGACGAGGCTGGAGGTGGCGCAAACATCCCTGAGTATGGTGTTGCAAAGCGCTTATGCCGTGGTAGTGGAACAGCAGGTGCAAGAGCACGTCGGAGGAGTGGGCGCATCGGAAGTGGAACCGCAGAGCTCAGGTGTCCGTCAGTTCGTCATCAACATCAAGATCGTTTATCATATTGTACAGTGAACCCCTATTTTATCATGGTTCGGTGATTCAAACCTTGAAATCACCTCTGAAATGGATTGGAAGCCAATGCAAGTTGGCCCAGTATCGGGGTCATGTGATCTAACGTCCTCGTCAGGACTCTAGCTGCAGCATTTTGTACTAACAGCAAGCTTTTAACACTGGACATGGGAAAACCAGAGAGCAATACGTTTCAATAATCAAGACGAGACATAACAAACGCGTGAATTATGATTTCTGCGTCACCAGGAGATAAAATGGGATGTATCTTAGTGGTATTGCGAAGGTGAATTAAAAAAAAAAATGCAGTTCTATACTCTTAATGTGCATTTGAAAAGATAGCGTTGAATCAAATATAACACTGAGATTTTTCGCTGAATCACTTTGGGTAAAAGTACATTTATTGAGGCTAAGAGTAGTGTTCTGAAAAGGTGCCGATGCTGAGCAGGGCCAATAATCATCATCTCGGTTTTATCGGGGTTAAGGATCAAAAAATTAAAAGTCATCCATTGTTTAATCTCAGCAAGGCACGCCTCGAGATTACAGCAACTGCGCGGCATAGTTATTTCTCATGGGATATATAGTTGGGTGTCATCAGCATAACAGTGAAAACTAGTGTTCTATGTATGTATGATGCCACCGAACGGAAGCATGTCAGTGCTGAACGAGAGAGGGCCAAGTGCCGATCCCTGTGGTACTCCACATGTAACATTACAAAACTCAGAAGTCATATTACCATAAATACACGGTGCGTTCTTTCTGAGAGGTAAGAACTAAACCAGGAAAGAGCTGAGCCTGAAGTACCAACACACGTTCTGAGGCATTCTTACAGTATGTATCAAAGGCAGTGCTAAGATCGAGTAATAATCATTTTGATGAGGTGTCGGAGTCCATAGCTAGGAGAAAACCACGCACACACACACAGACACGCACACACACAAATGAAGGTTCGCTGTGTATGATTCTCTTCCAATATTAATACAGTGTAGGAGGTGCAGTACAAAATGTCTTCCAAACCACTGATCAGCTTGTTACTGACTTCTTGGCATGATTTGCGTTTGCAGCTATGTCTGGTGAGGTTGAAAAGACGCCCATCATTGACCTAACTTCCAAGGTACTCCAGACTCCCTGACACCTCTGGCATATTTTTTTCGGTGCTCGATTACTGCCCCAACATCACAGAGCAGTTTGATCTTAACATCAACCACTCAGCTTAATAATTGCGCCTTTATAAATATAATAATTGGGATGTCACTCAGGGCATTGCTATGCATACCTACATTTTGGAGCTCATTATTTTGTATGTTTGTCTGTCAGGACAACATGCTTGCAGCACCGACACAGGACAGCATTGTTAACGAGACGTTGTGTGATTCCAGCCAGCAGGAAAATAACACAGACCCTGATGACCATAATGACCAGGTTTGGACTCATATCAGATGAACCATTTCATTTACTTTTCTCTCATTTATTATTGACATAGAAGGCTTGAAAATAACTTGTTTTCTTTGCAGGGCAGTTTTGCTAATGAGTGACTCCATTTCAGGAGCAACTGTCGAATTGTGGAGCAATTTTTTTGCAGATTAATGCCAGGAACCTGAAGCAAGGGTTGTATTAAACAACAAAAATAAGAAAATATAATGAATGAATAATTTGTTTTCTTTTTCATACAATCAGCATTTTTCTTTCCTAATTTCACATTGCACATTAGGCTTAGGTCATGTTATGGTTCTATATAAAATTAGTAACGGTATGACCTTTCACTCCGGTGTAAGAGGAGACTGTAAAACGGTGTCAAAATTGGAATACCGCTTAATGTAAATAAGCTTCATGTCGCTCACTGTCATAAAACTGCAATCAAGCTTAAAAGTTTATGTGAACATCTCTACATATGTCAACTTCAACCGCCTACAGCACAACAAGTTCCAAGCTGTGGAAGACATTTTTCAATGCAATGGGGCCTAATGATTGCTTAGTCAGGGGGGTCAAACAAACAATCAAATGAACCGCCCCATGAAACTTCCCTTAGCGGAAGTCGCACACTTACCGGTGCTTAATAGTCCTTCAGTGCCCTCGGGATTAAGGTGGATAGGCCACGCCTCCTGGCTGATGTACATCATGCAATTCTTTTCCGGTTTCCGGTTCTATTGAGTGCTTGGGTTGTCGCTATCGAATAGTTTTAGAATAGAATATTCCATCCATTAATAATCAGATTTTCTTTTGCTTTAAAGTGTATTACAAAACAATTTTTGTCCTGACTACTGACTGTTCTTTCTCTGGGCTGAAGCCAGAAGATGATGACATCGATGCCAGCCACATGGACCAAGCTGAAATCAGAGTCCCAGCTGACAAGCAGCTCAGAGTGCACCAGGCAGCGCACAACCCGCACAAGAACTTTGTGTGCTCACTGTGCGGAAGCAGCTTCCCCCTCAAACGCAGCCTCAACACACACATGCGGAAGCACACGGGTCAACAGACGGGTCAGTATTATGTTGTAGATGTGTTTTCATGAAGTCTTCCATTTTATCCATCTGATTTGAAAGAAAATCACAGAAATTGTTCGATCCAAGTAGTCATTAAAAAGTCCTTAAAGATTTTAATCAAAATTGTCCCAGATGGTCCTATTAACTCATAAATGTGATTAAAATTGCATGTAAACTGTTCCAAAAAAAGCTTTAATTTTAAAATAATAGTCGCACTAATGTTCTAAAAAGTTTTCATTTGATTAAAGCAGTCTCCAAAAGGTCCCAAAAATCTTGCAGTTGGCACCACCAACCACACTTAGTGGTTAGTTTAGGAAAATATACATCAGCATCCTCCACCCATTATTGTCAATGAAAATTTGTTGTGCAATGAACTGGTCCTTGGCGGAACAAGGGTGGGTACCACGGCCCCAGTTTGTATAACTCTTGGGACAACTCCCTGTTGTTGTGCTTTCCGCAGGCAAACATTCTCACACCTGCGACAAGTGTGGTAAGGGCTTCACGCTCAAGCAGATCCTGCTGAGCCACCAACGAAGTCACAACGAGGAGCGACCCTTCAAGTGCACGCTGTGCGCCAAGAGCTTCTACCGAGCAAATGGCCTGAAAATGCACAAGCGCTTGCACGTCTCCCGCCGCGCGCGTACAGGCGAGCACCGCTGCCGCATCTGCGACAAGATCTTCAGTCTCCAATGCAACCTGCAGCGCCACCTGCGCATCCACACGGGCGAGAAGCCTTTCTGCTGCGAAATCTGCGGGAAGAGCTTCAACCAGGGCGACTCCCTCAAGATTCACCAGAGGATCCACACGGGGGAGCGGCCATTCAAATGTGACACCTGCGGGAAGACCTTCATCCAGAAGTCAGCCTTAAAGTTGCACACCAACGCCGCCTCCCTGGCGTGCGTGGTGTGCGGCGCGACGGCGGCCTGTGCAGACGGAATGCGCAACCACCTACAAACGCACGCCGACGCCATGCCGTGCATCTGCATCTTGTGCGGAGACCCACTGGCCACGGTGCCCGTTTTGTGTTCACACCAGCACCACCACAACACGGCCGCCCGTGCGCACGGCTGCCCCTTCTGCAACAAGAGATTCAAGTCAGCCAGCTACCTGAAGATACACATTAAGTTGCACAGCGGAGTCAAGCCCTTCTCTTGCGACATCTGCCACCGTAGCTTTGCCCTGCACTGCAGGCTCAAGTTGCACCAGGTATTTTTTTTTCTTGACAATAAGTTAAAAAAAAAAAAAATTGGGTAAAAAAAATTTTCTCTTTTACCAAAGTGTTTTTCAAATGTCATTAAAAGTCTTCGGCCTGCTGCATCTGGCGACACAGCCAAAACCAACTGAACTCTGCGCAGGGTTCAGGAATTAGTCTTCATGAATGGCCGACTGTCAGGAAGGAAAATTTCACACCTTGAGAAGGTCCCAAAAAGTCTTAACTGTTATGTAAAGGTCTTGAAAAAAAATTGATCAAGCTGGTCATTCAAAGGTTACAAAAATGAAGTTTGAATCAACATGGGAGAATGGATTCAGTTTGAACGAAAAAATAATAACACCACAAATTTGGAGATATGGTAGCAGATCCTGATTATGTCTTAAAAATATGAGAAAAGACTATGTTGCTGGGGATTTCTAAATTAACTTTTTTTCTGTTTTGGATTTGCCAACTGTTTCTTCTCAGCTTCTTTTATGCAAATATAAACGGGTGTTAGTGTAAGAATTTTATCTGCATTTGGATTTACTTGTAAGTGCTGTTTCCAAAACTTTCAACTGAGATGTAAGTGCAAAAAATTCAAAACAAAAAGTATCAAAATTCAAAATAGGATCAGTGGCTTTAAAATGTCCACCACGATGCAGGACTTGTACATAATACATTTTTGTCCTCTTCTCCAGGAAGTGCACGTTGGTGACAAACAGTTCTGCTGCGACATTTGCGGCAAGTTTTTCAGCAATTTGAGCATGCTGACCCGCCACCAGCGCATCCACACAGTTGAGAAGGTAAAAAATTAATAATAATAGTGAGAAAGGTCATTAAAATGGTAAAGGTCTCAGACAATTAAAAAAAAAAAAATTTTTTTTTTTTTTTTGCTAAGCCCACTGGGAGTTATAGAGAGTTTTACTAGTGGAAGGTGGTTTCGTTGTTGTTTCAATTCTCCTACCAATACATTAGGCGAAGGTGCTTTAACTGTGTGTCAGTCTGTCAAATTACATCCAGGGGAGGTGCAATGCATGTCAGGTTAAATCCTTCCTTGGCCCAAAAGTCTCATATTCCCTGCTGAATTTAAGCTTTTTTTCCCCACCTCTTCAGGGAGAATACACGGGTGAGAAGTCATATGCCTGCGACCTGTGTGACAAACGCTTCAATCATGGCCCCAACCTGATTCGGCATCGCCGCATCCACACGGGCGAGAAGCCGTATATCTGTGACGTGTGCGGCCGCCGCTTCAGCCAGAGCAACAGTCTCAAAGCCCACCAGCTGGTCCACACCGGCCAGAAGTTCATGTGTGACCGCTGCGGCAAAACCTACAGCGACAAGAGGAACCTCAAGAACCACAAGTGTTTCTAATGCTCTCTACTTGAATAGTTTACCTTTAACTCACTGGGTAAATGGCAGTTTGCACAGGAGGAAGTCCTTGTTTGGTTACTTTCTGAAGCTAAAATACTGAAATACTGCACAAGCTTTGTAATGCCGCCTGGCATGACTGAAGTCCACAAAGTTGAGACCTAATTCTGATGATTTATTGAATCAACATGTGTGAAAAATTCTACAATACGTACTCCTTCAATTTTCAATGTTTCACCTCCTGGTCATTTCAAAGACGCACCTTGAACTATAGATGGCAGTAATGTGCAAAATATCAATGCAGTTGTGTTACACTAGTGTTACTCACCCCTTATCGAGCCCATTTTACATTCGAAAAATCTCATGGCACATCACCAAACCACAAAACTATATATACACTGATCTCATAAAGACCATGTCTAAATTTACTCACAAATGTATCAATAGTAGCCATGTTGGTCCGCTGGTTAGCACGTCCACCTCACAGTGCAGAAGTCTGGGGTTTGATTCCGGCCCTGGCCTTACTGTGAGGAGTTTGCATGTTCTCCCTGTACCTGTGTGGGTTTTCTACAGGTTCTCCGTTTTTCTTCCACATTCCAAAAACATACCTGATAGGTTGATTGAATGCTCTCTAAATTGTCCGTATGTGTGATTATGAGCGCAAATGGTGGTTTGACTTTGTGTGCCCTGTGATTGGGTGGCAACCAGTTCAGGGTGTACGGCCTGAAGACACCAGGGACATGCTCCAGGATCGTTCTCATGCTTCTTCAGAGCTTGCTGATCCTTGGAATCAGGTGTGTTGCAGCAAGGAGCGATGGAAAACAGGAAGGTGGCCCGTGAGGACCGCAGCTGGACATGCCTGTTCCACCACAGCTTCGTAATTATGACTGAATGTTTGTACACCTTTATAAGGTGGGTCTGCTCGGCGAACTGACGTGACAGTGAACACAAATATGAGTACAAACTACTGGCCAGCGATTTCTCGGCTCTAGCATTAACCACTGTGGTCTACTGTGACAGTGTAAGTTGAGGCTACCAGCAGGTGTCCTGCGAATGTTTTATTGATTACTGTACTGTACTGTATTTTATTACTCTTGGTTTAATAAAGCAATTGAAAGAGCACTCATTCTGTAACGACTTTTTTGTATTTGTTTTAACTAGTGGTAGGCTATATTCAATTATCTAAAGATTAGTTAAAAAGGCGCAGTTGAGTACTGTATGATTTTACAAAATCCACTGAACCAGCATTTTGTGACTGAGTACTGTGTGAAATCTGGGCCTTTTTAGTTGACCATGAAGAATACAGGTAGCTCCTTCTGTCATCTCTATGAGAGTATTTCACAGTTTTGCCTGTCACCATATTTTAAACATAATAAACATTGTTTTTAGTAAATGGGGTCAGCAATTAAATGATCGTCTACTGATGGCAGAAGGTAACACGTGTTTCCATCTTTTTCCATTTATACATCAGAATAACTAATGCCACTCACAAAATAAATCTTTACATTGAAACAAGAGCATCAATATCATCGTATCATAGTACTGTGACGTTTTTACTGAGCACCACGGTGAAAATAGTTGTCACGTCGGCCTCGCAGTGCAGAGGTGTAGGGTTCGATTCCGGCTCCGGCCTTCCCGTGTGAGGTGGCATGTTTTCTCCGGTTACTGCGGTTTCCTCCCACATTCCCCCCAAAAACATGCTGCCAGGCAGGCAGGTGTTAATGGAACACTTTATTTTGTCCCTAGGTGTGATTGTGAGCGCGAATGGTTCGTCTGTGTTCAGTTCAGGGTGTAGCAGGCAGGTGTTAATGGAACACTTTATTTTGTCCCTCGGTGTGATTGTGAGAGCGAATGGTTGTTCGTCTGTGTTCAGTTCAGGGTGTAGCCCGCCTATTTCCCGAAGACAGCTGGGATAGGCTCGAGCACGCCCTCGACCCTTGTGAGGACAAGGAAATTAGAAAATGGAAGAATAGAAAAGTATAAAAATAAACGATTGAAAAAAAATCCTGCGACCCTTGTGAGGATAAGCAAATTAGAAAATGGAAGAATAGAAAATTATAAAAATAAACGATTGAAAAAAATCCCGTATTTTGAAACAACCACTGAGGACAACGTCACTTCCGGGTGTGAGTAAAGCGCATTTACCCGTGCATAAAATTTAATGGTCTTACCGTTTTGATATTTGTTTCTGGTAAATTGTCTGTTTTGCTCGTCGTCTGTACGTCAAGACGTCATATGGGGGATTTTGAGGCGCGAGCGACATCCATTTTGGAACAAATGGCGAACAAGGCTGTGATGGAAATGAGCAAAGTTGTCGTTGACTGCGACACGACCCAAGCAATGTTGCCGGGCGAGGACGACCGCACTCCACTTTCAACGATAGATAAAGTACAATTCATTGCTTATTTCATTAATGTGCCGGATTTGTTGTTATGGACGTTTGTTTGCTGACATCCCGCCCCTCCTTCCTGGGTGATCATAGAAATAGAATACTGTAGCTTGCTCGCTAGCCATTGTAGCATCTGCTTTAAACTCACGAATAGACTCATACCAACGAATTTAATGTTTGTTTAAAAGGTCCTAGAATGGATAGCACAAAAAAACGTCTTCAAAGGTCCTAAAAAGTCTTAAATAGGTTATTTGGTCTTATAGGTTTCCCGAGGGAATGATATAGGAACAAAGAAAGAAAGTCAAAAAAGTGGTATGAAGTAAGGATAGGGGAAATACACATGCAATATAATGAACGTTTTTCTTTTTAAGTGGATGCCTTCTTTTAGTCCTCCATGTATTTTATTCACCAATCCCATGTGAAAACCATTAGATAAATAAATATGTTGTATTGTCTCCCATCAGGTGGTTCATCATGCCAACACCTTCATGACGTCACTGGCTCAAGAGGCGGCCAACAACATCTGCCAGCTTTTCCACGAATGTTCATCTCTGCTGCACTTGCAAGTACGTCACACAACCCAACGCAGTTGCATTCAAGTTGCTTTCACAATTCAGGAACTTGCCTACATGGAATAAAAGGAGTGTGAATTAGACTGCATTTCACTGGATAGTTTCTCCTTGCCTCTCATCTTCTGATTCCCCTACAAATGCCATTTTGTGTATCAAGGATCATGAATCTGAAAAATTTGAACGACCTTGAATAACATTATGTATGGCCTGTGTACAGGTGATGCAAGGCGAGGCACAGTTGGAGGAACTGAAGAAGAGGCTGGAATTGGCGGAAACAGCGCTGGGTATGGTGCTGACAAGCGCCCACACCGTGGAAGAGAAAGAGAAGGTGCAAGAACAGGAAGTGGATGGAGAAGTTGCAGAAGTAGACACAGACAGTTCAGGTGACTTCCAATTCTTCATCATTGTCAATATCATATCCATTTACGTTAGCCATGTCAACTTTGTGATGTATCATCCATGGTGTTCTTCCAGTAAACTGTAATACAGTGTAAACGTTGCTGTACGGTATGGCTCCAAAAACATTAACAGGCTTGTTTGTGACATTGACATGATTTGTATCTGCAGCTCTGTCTGGGAATGTCAAGAATTCGACCACCATGAACCTAATTTACAAGGTACTCTGAACCATCTCAATAATGTTGAAATTGCCTTATGTTTTCTGGACTCGATTAATGTCCCAACCTCACAGAGCAGTTTCAGCTTAATAGTAACCTTAATAATTGCACCTTTAAAAAGTTATTTGGAATTTCACCCAGTAAAATGCAGACACCTACCAAGGTACAAATGATCCTTCCATAAAGTCTTACATTTTGATAAAATGTCTTGAATTTTTGGATCACTGGTCTCAAAGGGTCCTATAAATTGTTATATTTAATCTAATATAAATCAATCAGTCTTTATCTGTATTAATGTTCTTAAAAATATCCTAAAATTTAATCGTGATCCTAAAAGCCTTGTTTTTTGGAATGATGAAAATAGTCCGATCAAGACTTGAATTTGACCATGTCCTTAAAAGTATTTAAAGTAATAGGATCCGCAACCTGTTGAATTATATCAGCTGTCACAAAAAAAGCTACCAGACCATGTCCTTAAAAGTATTTAAAGTAATAGGATCCACAACCTGTTGAATTATATCAGCTGTCACAAAAAAAAAGCGACCTCCATAAAGTCTTACATTTTGATAAAATGTCTTGAAATTTTGTATCATTGGTCTCAAAGTGTCCTATTAATTGTTACATTTAATCTAATATAAATCAATCAGTCTTTGTCTGTATCAATGTTCTTAAAAATATCCTAAAATTTAATCAATGTGATCCTAAAAGCCTTGTTTTTTGGAATGATGAAAATAGTCCGATCAAGACTTGAATTTGACCATGTCCTTAAAAGTATTTAAAGTAATAGGATCCACAACCTGTTGAATTATATCAGCTGTCACAAAAAAAAAGCGACCAAAATTCTCATCAAATTTGATCCAAAAGATTGGAAAGTCTTGCACTTGATCAGAGTGATCTTAAATTGCACTGACAAGGCTACATAAAAAATAAATAAAATTTTTTTTTGATCAAAATGACCTTAAAGGGTTCCAAAAGTTACTAAATTTGAACAAAATGCCAGAACGTCACCCAGCACACTTGATCAGAGTGATCTTAAATTGCACTGACAAGGTTATATTAAAAAAAAATAAAATAAATTGATCAAAATTACCTTAAAGGGTTCCAAAAGTTACTAAATTTGAACAAAATGCCAGAACGTCACCCAGCACAGTGCAGTCATGTAGCTGACAGTGTGGATCAAAAGCAAACATTATTATTGTTAATATGTCTGTTAAACAGGACAACGTAAATCCAACATTGACGCAGGACACCTTCGTTCAGCAGACGTCGTGTGGGTCCGCCCAGCATGGAGGCAACTTGGACCCCAAGGATCATGATGATCCAGACCATCAGGTCAGGATAATAGTATCACACCAATCATGACATTTATTGTACTCTTATTTGTATTTAACTAATAATATCTAAGCTATTAGTACACTTTCCCCATCTGCTGTGCTGCAGGAAATCATCCAATGTAACTTACCGGTGCTTGGTCTGAGACTTTTATATAGTGGAGTAAGTCGTTCACTTATTGGTCAAATGAATTTTGTAACACTACTCAGGTGTCGTGATTAACATAATTACTTATGGAATTCATCCAAAAAAGGAATCCAAGAAAAGAAAACATTATTGTGACGCTTCTTTCATGGGGCAGGAGCAGGAAGACGCCAATGACACCGGCCACGTGGACGGCACCAAACATGGTCTCCAAGCCGGCAAACAGAGCGGCAGGAACTCGAGCAACCGGCAGCCCAGAGCCCGTCAGGCAGCGCGCCAGCGTGACAAGAACTTTTCATGTTCACTCTGCGGACGCACTTTTGCCCTGCGGCGTAGCCTCAACGTGCACATGCGGCAGCACACGGGTCAGTGCTCACCTTATTGTTTTACATGGACGTTACGAAGGCCTTATATGTTATCAAGCCGGACTGAAAAAGGTCCTAAAAAAATTATGACTTACATCAAACTTGCTGTAAAAAGTTATCTCCAAATGGCTTGGCTTTTCTGTCTGTTTCAATAATCAAATGTGGCACTTGAACAAAAAAGATTGCCCACCCCTTCTATGTAGTGACAAGCGACTCAACAAAACACAGCCTCTGTTTGACATTTTCTTGTTGGCGTTTTTCCAGGCGAGCGTGCTCACATGTGCGACGTGTGTGGTAAGGGCTTCACACTCAAGCAGATCCTGCTGGACCACCTGCGAACGCACAATGACGAACGACCCTTTAAGTGCACGCAGTGCGATAAGAGCTTCTACCAAGCGCACGGCCTCAAGTTGCACCAGCGCTTGCATGTCGTCCGCCGCGAGCGCATCAACCGCTGCCAGTTTTGCAAGAAGACCTTCAGCGTCCTTGGCAATCTGCGGCGCCACCTGCGCATCCACACGGGCGAGAAGCCCTTCAGCTGCGACACATGTGGGAAGAGCTTCAACCAGGCTGATACACTCAAGAGCCATCAGAGGATCCACACGGGGGAGCGGCCATTTGGCTGCATAAGCTGTGGGAAGACCTTCATCCAGAAGAGCACACTGGAGACACACACCGATGCCTCCGCGCTGGTATGCGTGGTTTGCGGCGCCACGGCGGACTGCGTGGAGATGATGCGCGGCCACTTGCAAACGCACGCCGACTCCTTGCCATGCATCTGCATGCTGTGCAACCAGAGGCTGACAACGGCGGCGGAGTTGCGCTCGCACCAGCAGCACCACCATGTGGCGGGTGGTGAGCATTGCTGCACCATATGCGGGAAGACATTCAAGTCAGCAAGCTACATGAAGATCCACTTCAAGGTACACATCGGAATCAAGCCCTTCTCCTGCGACATCTGTCTTCGCACCTTCTCCCAAAAAAGCAGCCTCAAGACACACAAGGTACCCTTTTTTTTTAAGTTTGTTAAAAAAACACTCTCAAAAAGTCCAGAATTAACAAAATTGCTGAGAAGGTTTTAAATTTGAGACTTTCTGTTAAAGTCTTAGATATGTGTATGTGGACACGTGCGGTAACGGGGCGATCGCGGAGGTTGGTTGCTCCGAAAGTAGACCTTGGGTTAAAAGTTGGGCACCCCTGATTTACAGGCACAACATGGTACTTCACCAAAGGTGAATTCTTCCCGGGTAAAATTGAGCTTTTTTCTTGTGCTTTCTAGGCATTGCACACGGGCGAAAAGCCGTTCGCCTGCAACACATGCGACAAGCGCTTCAGCAACATGGGCAACTTGACCCGCCACCACCGTGTCCACACGGGCGAAAAGCCATATATCTGCGATGTGTGCGGTCGCAGATTCAACCAGAGCAACAGCCTGAAGGCCCACCAGCAGGTCCACACGGGCCACAAGAAGTTCATATGCGACCGTTGTGGCAAGAGCTTCGGCTACAGGAGGAACCTCAAGCACCACAAGTGCCTCTACTACTGAGTGCTTGAATGGTTGAACTGAACTTAATGGTTGAATGGTGGCTTGCATTGAAGGGATGCACGCTTTGGTTGTTGTTTTCACAGTAAAATAGTGAAATACCTCACAGCCTTTGTGATGCTCACTGGTACGATTGGAAAAGTCCTTAGTTGAGATCAAAAACTTTATGGCAAAGGTCATCAACCTGGGGTCCCACGACCAAGGTATATAATAGTTTTAGTTTATTTAGTTTTGACATTTGTTTTTTAAGTTCAGTTTTAATTTATTTTGAGAGCAAGTTTTGAGTGTTTTATTTTTTTCACGACTGCTTTGTTTTAGTTTCGTTTTTCTTAGTTTCAGTATTAAAGTTCTGTATTTTAAATATATGGATTATGCTATTTGTCCAATGCTAGATCAAAAAAATCACAAAGAATTGTATGATAAAGTAAACTACAATTCTCAAACAACTCTTCTGTTCTGCAGCAATACCAAAATAAATACATTTAAAATGAACCTCGAACGCTCATGTGTGGTATTAATTGACAAAGATGAAAATGATGGACATTTTCACAATAAATATACTTTTAAAACATAAGATTTAGTTTCAGCTAGATTTTTTAAAAGCATCTTTATTATTATTTTTTCTTTCCCAAAAATGTTTTTTGTCAATTTTAGACTTTGTTTTTACATTAACGAAACTACCGGTAACCTTGCTTGGGACCCTCTGGGCCATGTGAGTCATAGCTTGCAGATCTCCCAAAAAATCTGGAAGAAATGTTCTCACTTAAATAAGTGCAAAAAGGAATGTTATTAAAATAATATGTCTTGCATTTTAGTGGATGAAGGCATCTCCGTTCCAGTACAAAAGGTGTAAAATTCTGAAAATAAAATTGTACCATATAATTTGAAGCCCAAATACTTTTGTATGCTGATGAAGGTTCACCACCGTCTCAACTTACTCCGGAAGCTACGACATGGGGAACTTCTAGAGATGTGTGTCTGTGTGTGTGTGTGTGGGTGGGGGGGTGCATATACTTGTAGGTGCACTAAGTGTGGTCTGACCATGTGAAAAGTGGGATTTTTATCTTAAATGTCAGTTCATTTAAAAAAAAAAAATTATTTCATTTTTACATTTTTGTTTTTATTATTATTTTCATGCCCTTTGTTTAATTGTTACATTTTTTTTATTATTTTCATGCCCTTTGTCCGAGCTGCCCACATGCCTCCCATATCCTGTTGGATGTATTGATAATTCCACATCCACTATTTTTTTGCCCTCTAATTGCTTTATCCACCTCTGACCGGACAATTCTGCTGCTTCATGGAAATATGGATGTTCTTTCCAGTATCGATCTCCACTGTCAGAGCAGTGAGCTTTCTGCTGTCCACTTTGTGAGCTGCTCTGACAGATGACAGCGCTGCTTTTGAGTGCTGCTGTTTATTTGACTTTCATTTACTTCTTCTGTTTATTTGACTTGTATTTAGTTTTTAGATTGAGGAGTAATAATCAAGAGGCAGCGAGTGAAGGATGAGGCCTTGGGTTCGGTCCATAAGATCCAGATCAGTCCAGGTAAAACACTTTGTAAAATCTGATTAGATTCTCAACACTATTCATACAAATATACATTTAAATGGATTGATGCGTTGAATGGCTCAAATAGCAATTACTTTAGAATTTGACTAGTCTAGATAAAATTTCCATGCTGTTACGTGTGATAGTTAAACGTAGGGTCGTCATTAATCTTTTTTTTTAAGTAGGCACACCAACACAGTAGTATAACCATAATTTCAGTAAACAGTTTTAGGGAAAACACTTGTTATTCATCCCTTCATCCCTCCCTTCCTTTCAATTCTTTAATCCAACTTTCCAGCATCCAGCCTTCCCCACTTCTTTTGCCTTCATGTCAATTTTCCCTTCCATTCATCCTTCCTTTGATACCATTCTTATTAATTCTCTTATTCCTTATTTGCTTCATCCTTTAAAAGGTCATATTTACTACGCACCATGACTAGTCTAAACGCAATATTCTGATTTATGTTGCATTTGTTGAAAATCCACCCATTTTTATCCATCTCAGTGGAAGGCCATTTTACATCACGGTGCCCAAGGGCTCAGCTTGTGAATCCCACATGACCATACCGGGACATTAGGTGAGCCACTTTGTTGCTGTGATGTCATTTTTTTGTCAACAGCAAGTGGCAAAATGGCTCCCCCAAGGCTAGGTGGATTTTGTTGCTTAATTAATATTCCACAAACGCAATATTAATCAGAATGCATTGTTTAGATGAGTGGACATATGATATGATTTGATATCATATATGATATGAGGAAACAATGTACCTGGCTTCTCCTTATTTGAAAAGTATATACTGTATTTTGGCGTACCATGTATTGTTTCTCAACTGTTACAGAATCCGTATTCACAAAGACAAGCACTCAGTTTGTGATAGAGAAATGTGTAGTTTCGATTACGATGTGACATTGAACGCATCGCCGCCGTGGGGAGACCTATCGTCGCTAATTACGAGGCGTCACTGAACGCATCGCGGCCATTGTCGGAGGAGGGAGGAGAAGAGGGAGAGTCAGCCTGTCTTCCCCTTTTACCGTCATCACACTGGACGTTCACCGGTCTCATTCTAGTGTCTTAAACTAACGTACCGATACCGAACTACTCTTTCAAGATTTCAAAAGACGCCGCGGAGGAGATATTAGCCTTTTGCTTTGTCGTCGCATGACCACCGGACACCGGCTACTTTCCATTGGCCGCATCCAGAAGCGGAGCGGTGGGTTTATTCTCGAGGCTTTCTTCATGACAAGGCCCCCCTGGTACATCAGTGGAAATGTGGACTCTGGGTGTGTTATCGTGACAATTCCAAATCTAAATTGACGCTTTTGTAAAGCGTGGGACATAACGGCTTGCCCGTTAGCCAGCTAGCTTCTTAGCCCGCTGCGGTTTCGCTCTAGTTTCTCGTTGGGTGTTACTGAGGACATTTGCTTCTTAACCTCCGGGATCATCCTGTTAGTGACGCCGTTTGTCCACCGGAATGCGGCGGTGGAGCTGAAGGGCCGAGAGGCAGTGAGTCCTCATTAAGTGGGGGTTGAAAGTCGGGCCCCCGTGTACAGTTTTTCTTGGTTTTTTTCGATGATGCTGAATTGGTGGAGCTGCGTGGAGCTCACTGGACTCTTTGCTGTGCTGCCTTCAAGGACCTTCACCATGAAGATTGTATGAGAGGCCACCTTTCCTCCCACCCCCAAATACGCTGCGTCTGCTGTTATTGACAGTTAGAGGGTGACTTGTCTGCCCCTGTGTGTACACTACACACAACAGTCTGCTCATTATTCTTCCTCTTCTGACCGGAATCGCACTCAGGGACGAGCATGTCTTTATTACGCGCCGCACTGCCCGGAAACGAGAGGAACCCGGATCACGTAAGTGCACGTAAACAACAACACTCACACACGCACAGTCGATGGGACGTTTAGAAGTGATGAGTCCCATCATGTCCATTTTGAGCGATGACGCCACCCCCCACCACCACCACCACCATCCATGCCCTAAAGCCAATCAATATTTAATCCAGTTGATGCAAGACCACCTTGAACAAACCCACTCAGTCCCGCTTCACCCTTTAAATGATTGGCCTCTGAAGCACACTCAAATGAAAACATATGACCAGAAAGATGACTATCAGTGTAAAGTGGATATTGGGAAAATGTGTGTGTGTGTGTGTGTGTGTGTCTGTGTGTGCTGCATGTTAGTTGCATACAAAAAGAAATTTGAAATTGTAAACATCAACAAGTAGTATGATTTTTATTATGTCCTGCAAGCTTGCCTCAATCCCACCAAATTGATAACATAGGGGTTGCCTCACACTGACTTTTTCCTATGACATGTTCTGAATAGATTTCTAATTGTCTCGAGTTTATTTCCCATCTACAGGAATTAGAAAGCAAAATATGGCACTGTAGATCTGTAAACATCTGAAGACATATACAATGAGTAAGCCCAAGTCATTTTTGCACATTATAAATTGTCAGCACCCAAAATACATTTTTGTCATTCGTGCACCCAAGACCCCATGATATTGAGTTTAAAGATAAAAATGACTCCAAAGCTTTCAGGTGGTATCCTTTCACACTGATATTTTTTCTGACAATATCTGCCTACAGACTAATGATCTTGAGGTAATTTACCTTCTGGTGAAATACAAACACACTTTTGCTCTAGTCCTCTTTGGACGTGAAAATCAGATAGCTGACATCTTAGAAACTGTTGTATTTTGGAGCATCGGAGATCCATAAACAAACAATTTCAATGTCTTTCTTCATCTTTCTTTGTTTGAAATTATGGTGCACATCGGAGGTCTGAAGCAGAAAAACTACAACTGCTCTCTGTTACACCAAAAACGCTATACTATAGTAACAATAATAAGGAACAATAATTTAAATATGAAATGGCAGCACTAACACTCCGAAGGTTAGCACAATTTATTGATAAAAACTAAACTTTCTCATTCCTAGTGCTGTACTATGACATCAGGCTCTTGCTAAAATAACACTGAAATAATAAATGACAAAACATGTTTTTGGATTCTGTGCATCATCTTTGTCTTTCAGCTCTTTCTGTGACAATATGACAGTGTCACACGCAGGCCTAGCCTATGAAATATCTCACTGTGACTTGTTTTAAGAATAGCTTGTAATATTTCCTAATTTGACTTACCCATCTTGACAGATAGCTTTGCTAAAAAAGAGGTTTAAAAATAAGTTTCTTGTGAACAGGGCCAAAGTCACAAGCCGTGGTAGCAACCTCACAATGGCAACAGCAGTAGGGCATTAATTCCACACCCTATTTCTTCCTAGCCATGTTCACGTTCCTTGTATATCCACAAGCTCATTTACAGTAATTCTGCTGAATGGCAATAATTATTCCAGGGTTAAGGTGTGACCATTAAACCTTTTTCAGTCGTACAGGCAATCTTTTATGGTTCCCTAGTCTGAGCTACAATAGTATGACCTTGCCATATGATGACAAGTTTATCTGTAACATTGTCCCTGCAGGACTGAAATATTTTGCTCAAGGCAAGTTGTGAGATTTGATCAGCATGTGTAAAGGCACCCCCACCAAAGTGGGCGTGGCTCAGTGCCTGTGTGCACATGCATGGCTTTGTTGTTTTTTCCCTAGAATGTCCACTATGTGTGCCCATGCTGTTTTAATTTCATTTTTAGTCACGTAAATAGACATTTTGAGGAGATCAGCATTCTCCAAAATGCAATATATGTATGTGTGTGTGTGTGTGTGTGTGTGTGTGTGTGTGTGTGTGTGTGTGTGTGTGTGTGTGTGTGTGTGTGTGTGTGTGTTTTTTCCCAGTCTTGCTTGGCAACATATTGCGTCGTCAAATCTATCATGAATAGTCTCGGAAAGAAGACTCATGAAACCATGGTTGAAAAGACAGAGGAAGTATGCCAATTTGGCTCAAAGCACCCTTTTTATGATTTGATGATACTTGGTAACGTCTTCTGAAATATTTTGAAATTTCAGCCCCTGAAGCCAGTTTCACTTAACAATATGAAATTGGTTAGGCGTGGGAGTCATGAGTCCACCCACAAAAAATTATCATGAAGCCATGCCTGGATAAACAAAGGAAGTCTGCCCTTTTTTTTTCCCAGGGCGTTATTAGTTGGTCCTTGAAAGATGAACTCGTCCTTGAGATTTTGTCTGATAGCCTACAAACAAGTGTGGCGCACCTCCCAACCAGCTGCTTTAATTTCCCTTTTGTGTTTCCTGGACTCACCAAGTTAAGTCATAGACTTGCTGTCACAACTTGTTTGCCAGCACGAGCACCACACCTCAGGTCCTCCATCATGTGCTCCACTGAGGCCCAGTCAGCCATGCATGACACCTACAAAATTTGATATGAGGTGACCTATATTTTTCAGGTTTTGTTTTTCACCCAGACTGCGTGGTAAGGTCAGAGAAATGGCACAGTCACAGCAACGTTCCGTCTTAAAGCTTGCGCTCTGGGATGTTGATTGATGTGCTGTCTGTTTTCTCTTAGCATCTCTTACCAAGATGGCCACCCGCAAGTCGCTACACAATGCCGCAATGAGCGTTTGTGAGTGCTGATAAAGCTTCATTAAACTATATGACAAAGGTCTTTCCTTGGAAGCACGCTTGCTTGCCATTGTGACACTTTGTGACATCGTGTTTGAAGTCCAGAATTTCCTCCAGGCATCTGTAGCACTTTTTATATTTTGTTTCTCTTCGTAAAAGACTCCTTGGCAGCACTCCGATGGCATTTGTGTATTTAGACCATTAGAGCCCTCAAAGAATACTTAAATAAAGGAACACCTTATTTGGCAACAGTAGCCCTCATAAGTCGCACAGCATGTTTCCTCAGTTGGGTTTACCTCTGCCCATACTGGTTAGCAACAAATAGTAAGATAAGTTATTGTTTGCTAGTCCCAGGTCGGAGTAATAGCGTTTGCCTTTTGGATTTCATTGGAGGGGGGGGAGGGGGGTGTTGATACTGAGGGGAAGAAAGCTGGTGTGGAATGATTGGCAACAATGAGGACATGCCAGTATTTTGAATTAGTATTTCTTTTCTAGATAATATGCTTCGGTTTAAGTTACTGATGGTGTAGTGGTACATTTGCCTGACTTGTGTGTGGAAAGCGTGGGGTCGGTTCCCACTCAGTGACGGTGTGATTGTGGGTGTGAATGGTTGTCTGTCTCTAAATGTGCCCTGCGACTGACTGGCGACCAGTTAAGATGGTAGTCCGCCTTTTGCCCAAAGTCAGCTGGCACAGGCTCCAGCAACCCCGCGACCCTCTTCAGGATAAGCGGTGTTGAAAATGGAATGGAGAGATGGATGCTTCAGTTTTGAATCTGTGAAGAGAGAGTTGACGTGCCTTGTCAAAAACATCCCGATTTATCTCATCTGTCCAGAGGGCAATCTCCCATAAGCTTTGTGGTTTGTCAATATGCATTGACAAATTCTAGACTGTGTTTTTTTTAATTATTTGCTTTCATCATTGCTGATAAGTCGTATTCCATAAAGTCAACTTTCGCTCGAGTAACGAGATGCTGTTTGAAACTTATGTACCTTGACCTTATAGTCCACCTTTTATTTACTTGGAAGATGTTCTGGAATCTTTGTTTACCATTCATTTGTTCTATTTTCCGATTGCAATCACGTCCAGGGAGAATGACTCCAGTCCTGTGGACTGTTAACTTCTGAAAATATGCAACAGTAACATCAGCAACATCAAGCTGCTTGGAGTCGGTCTGATCGTAATTTCGGCATTTATGTGCTTATTGATGGATAGTTTCAGCTGAAACTTATCTGCCAAGTATCGAAGGGGTTACCCAAGTAGCCGATGACACATAAGGGTCGAGGAGATATGTTGACAAATTGTGAGGTTACACTGTTTTCTCAAATTCAAAGGCAGACAGTTTTTTGACCAGCTTTTCTTTTGGGAATATCACATCATAACATTTGCATCTTTCATCCAACGCCAAAACCTGTCATCTGATTTTCCAAATTAATTAATTCAGGTTTAAATGGCTTTTCCAAACAGAGTTAGCATTTGCCAGACTGTCATTTTTGGGCACTCTTGTCATGTTGCTACTTTTTGTGTTCTATGTTCAGTGTAGTACACGCCATGAACCAAACAGCACATTGACTACATGCCACCTTTTAAATATGGTAGGCAGACTGATGACTCCAAACTTTTTCTGTGCAATTAATAAGTATCAACACGTTTCTATTTTTATTTCTTATGGGATCATGTTTCCAAATGTGACTACTGACTGCATTGTTGCTGTTACAGGTTAAGCGACTTCTGGGCGCACTTTCTGCAATGATAAACCACTGTAAGACAGAGAATGCACATGTAATAGTTTTGAGCTGTGTTGTCAAGCTTAAAGCGTCAATTGTGTTTTCACCTGGATGTACTCCAAATGAGCAAGTCAAAGCCTTCAGGGATCTTACGTCTGCTTCAAGTGAAATGCCCCGTACTGAAAAATGCAATGACAATGCAATGCTGACGTAGTTGCCTTGTAGACCCGCACAGCGGACGGAAATATTTGTCATATGTTCACTTTCTGTGGGAAAGGTTACACATGCCTGTCAAGTATATTAGAAAGGGGCAGGAAAAGGATATATGGTCTGTTTCTTCTTCGAGACTACCTAACCCTGTCAAGAGTCCTGTAATACAGTATTGGCAGGGCTAGCCATAAGCAAATGTACAATTGCCCCATTCTATTTTTTTTGACATCTCTGGTGAATCCCCATTTGTCACGCGGAATAGCACAAAGAAATTGACAACACCCCCCCCTCCCCCAACAAACTTTAAACTAGGGCTGAACAATTTTGAAAAAGAATCAAATTGTGATTGATTGTTTCCTCAATATTGAGATTCATCGTAGAAAGGGTTCTGTCAGTCGTCATCTGTACCTGTGGGTAAAAAACAAAAAAAAAAAACAAAAAAAGCAAAAAAGGACGTTTTTTTGTTTTTTTTTTTTTTTTTTTTTTTTTTTGTTTTTTACCCACAGGTACAGATGACGACTGACAGAACCCTTTCTACGATGGAACTTTCCTGTACGACTGAGAGCCTCCACAAGCAATATTGAGATTGCGATTTCATATTTGATTCGTTTTCTTTTTCTCGGTTACGCTGGCACTAAAATAAAGACAAATGAACCATGAAGAAATGTGAAAGACGGTTTAATTACTTCAATTACAGTTGCTAACTTACAAAACACTTTGACTTTTGTAGTCTTTTAAGCGTTCAATAAACAGCTGAAAAATGCATTGGCGACTGCATTGACAGCTTTCCATGATGTAGCGGGAATTTCTGCATGGATAATTTTATACATTCATTAAAAAAAAAGAGCTTTTGTTTTAGAAAAATGCTAAACAATATTTCAACATTAAAAGTGAGGACAACTGGCAATTGTCCACAGATTTTACCATGAATCATTAAATGGACACACATGATTTAGTTTGGTGGGCCACAGAAAATGATGTGAGGAGACGAATCTTGCCGCCAGGCTTTGAGCTTTGCATAAGTGTTATCATGTCTTTGTTATTTGCTGTCATCGCTCAGACGGGAAGTGATGCAAAGGAACTTCTTGTAGTTCTTTCCAATGCTGTAAGGATATCACTGGCATTTGTGATGAGACAAAAATGTTGGGACAGTTGAAAACGGAAGAAAATGTGATGTTGCGCAACACTAAAACCTTTGGGGTTTGGCTCTGAATTGTCTGGCAACAGTTGACTTTTGTTGCTGTCGCCGCAACCATGCAACACAATAGTGTGGTGACAATCAATCAAACTCATTAACAAAATGGACGTGACTTGTTAAATAACACCTGTGTCAAGCGATGACTCACCCGTGTCTATTTTCATCATGCCGGGAGACACTCGCTGTTTGTGTGAGAGTGCGTGCGAAAGGAAATGTGTGTGTATGTGTGAGTGAGAGAGCGAGAGATTTTGTGTGTGTGGGAGAGAGAGTATTTGTGTACGAATGAACAACCTTGGAGGAAAAGGAAACTGGTGTTACCGCGGCAGGGGTGGGAGGTAAACTCAAGGTTACGCCACTTTGCTTCAGCTGGGCCACAACGTCACATTTCCTGGAGTCCATGCATTTCCTATTACAACACACACACACACACACACACACACACACACAGACACACATACACACACACACACACACACACACACACACACACACACACAATGTGACCGCAGCACACTTCGTTGTGCCATCGTCATTGTTTTTCTTAGAGCAGGGGTGTCCAAACTTTTTGCCAAGGGGGCCAGATTTTATGTGGTAAAATGTCGGGGGGCCGACCTTGGCTGACCTTCTTTACATTGAACAACAATATTGTGAAACAAATTATAGTAAGCCAGTCTGTGTTTCACATTTCCATTTTTATTTTAATTTCAACAATCTTAAGCATTTCTTTTGGTTCATTTGAAACAGGTATATCAAATGTAACTGAATATTCACTTGACTTTTTCTTGAACAGAAGTCTCCTGAGTGCAAATTGCAACATACGAAACATAAAATGTATCACCATGACTTTTCAATACTCACAAAGCCTTGACTCGAACAACAGGGAAATGAACAAGCAATACACATATCCACAACTGCGGGGATCATTTGAAATATGACATATCAGTCAATATAAATGTTGATTGAACTTTTAAAAGTTTGCTCTGGAATGAAACTTAGGACTGATGTAGATCTTAACAAACATTTATTCAGAGACTTATTGCCAGCTGACAAATGACTTGTTTGTCTTAATGTGACGGGTGATATTAGGGATCTGGATTGAAGCACAAAGGGCAGGTCTGGCTCAAAAGCAGATGTATTGATGCGCAAAATGTCTCGCAGGTGATTGTCCGTTAGCCGTGTCCTCACACAGCTTTTATTTATGTTCATAACCGAGAATGTCTTCTCACACAAATACGTCGACCCAAACAAGCTCAGCATTTTCTTTGCAAACGCTCGAATCTCTCGGAACCTGTCCTTATTGAGCTGTCGGTAAAAGTTGGCCAGAGAAAGTTCCTGGTGCCGACTGCGGCTCTCAGCATCACACTGCAACTCAATGAGCTCCAGCTGCAAGTGGTCTGGAACATCATCTGTGTCCACAGAAAAAGGTGAGGAAAACAAAGTGATATCCTTCTCGATAGCTGCAAAATCTTGAAAGCGTTGTCTGAACTCTTCAGCCAGAGATGAAATAGCTGATGCGTACCTCCTCGTTTGCGCACTGACATTGCTCTGTGGGAATGTGGTCATGATTTCTTGCAGCGCTGGAAAGTGTGCAGTATTGGGTTGGGTCTGCGACAGGTGTCTTTCAAACAATTTCAGCTTAATTCCAAAGGCTTTGATGTGTGAATATAATTGGCTTATGACTGCGTCTGGTCCCTGGAGACTGGTGTTGAGGATATTAAGGTGCTTTGTGATATCAACCAGAAAACCCAAATCAGACAGCCACTTAGGGTCACTTAGTTCTTGCATAGGTTGTCCCTTTTCAGCCAAAAACTCACTGATTTGCTGCCTAAGAGAGTAGAAGCGTGACAGTGCAGAACCCCGACTGAGCCAGCGCACGTCAGTGTAATAGACAACATCTCCATATTCCGCGTGAATCTCACTTAGAAACTGTTGAAACTGACGGTGGCATAGCGCTCTGGAGCGGATATAGTTAATAGTTTTTATCACCGGTTTCATAACATGTTCGTATCGCAGATGTTTGGCACACAGAACTTGCTGATGAATGATGCAATGGAGTTTTACAGCTTTACCCCCTTCTTCACTTACTTTGTTACTTATTAATGTCGCTAGTCCACTTCGATCGCCGGTCATGGATGGTGCACCATCAGTAATAATCCCAGAAATTTTGTTCCACGGGAGTTTCATGTCATTCACGGCAGCGCAAACAGAAGAGAATATGTCCGTTCCTCTTGTTTGGGTTTTCAGGCTCTGGAGGTCCAGTAGTTCTTCAGTCACGTTCATTTCATTGTCCACTCCCCTCAGAAAAACAAGTAACTGAGCAGTGTCCGAGGCGTCTGTGCTTTCGTCGCAAGCCAGCGAAAAAAAATCAAACTCTTTTCCTCTGTCTCCCAATTGTCGTTTGATGTCCGCTGAGAGTTCTTCAATCCTGCGTGCCACAGTGTTACGTGCCAGGCAGACTTTGGCAAACTCTTGCTGCTTCTCAGGGCATATTTTCTTCACCATCGTCATCATGCAGTCTTTGATGAATTCACCTTCGTTGAAAGGTTTGGAACGTTTTGCGATCAGCGTTGCTACCGCATAACTCGCCGCTGTGGCGTTCTCGTTTGACTCTCGAGCTCTTGCAAAATACTGCTGCTGTGAGATTAAACGAGCTTCAAACTGCTTCAATTTCTCTGTGCGTTCCTTGCCTGTAATCATGTCGTACATGTCAGCGTGTCTTGTTTGGTAATGTCGCTTGACATTATAATCTTTAAAAACAGCCACTGTCTCTTGGCAAATGAGGCAGACACAGTTGTTGCGTATTTCAGTGAAGAAATAATCCAATTTCCATCCATCCTTGAATCGTCGTCCCTCGCAGTCAACTTTCCTTTTTCTGTTGATTGTCGCCATTTTAGAAAACTGGGAAGTGAATATGTGCACGGAGTGATGTCTCGTAGACTCGTGAGTGATGTCTCGTAGAGTGCTACTGCCCTCTAGTGGCTAAATGCTATTACTCATTTCGTGAATGCTATTACTCATTTAGCCACTAGAGGGAAGCAGAACTATATGAGACATCACTCACCAGTCTACGAGACCTCACTCCGTGCGATACGTGTCCCATTGTGCACAACCTGCGGGCCAGACGGCACTGATTTTATGACAGAGGCCGAGGGCCGGATGAAATTCGACCGCGGGCCGGATTTTGCCCGCGGGCCGGACTTTGGACATGCCTGTCTTAGAGTATGTCAGATATTATCGGTGGAACACGATGTAAGAAGTAGCAAATTAACTTTTTTAGTCGCTGGGAATAATACCCGGTACCACCTCCATCTCACTCACGCTCCTTTCTTCTTGTAGAGTTGTACAGGTGAGGCAAGGCTAGCTCAGCAAAACATTTGCGGCTTGAAAGCACAGTCTTTACTCCACTTGGCACATAAAGCTTTGGGCGGGTTCGCTCATTCCAATTTGCAGTATCTCTCAAAAGTCCTTCAGGTTGGATGGGGAACATTTGGTGTACAACCATTTTCAAATTTCCCCATGAATGGCCAAGCAGTATATATTGTGCATGTGATTTTTTTTTCCATTTGTTTATTTTAATTGTTATTCATTTGCAAAATTATCAAAGTTTTTTTCTTCTTCATGTTGTCATTATGGAGTGTTGAATTTTGTGGTGAAAAAATAATGTAATCCATTTTCCAGTACGGCTAAAATTACAAGAGAAAGTGAAGCGGTGTGAATACTTTCCAGAGCCACTGTGAGCCAGCGTTCATTGTTGCAATTCCACTTGTGAACATCACCAGATTCTGAATCAAACGTGTTCTCAGCAGATTTCCTCCTTGATATCTAACATAGAGCAAATCAACGGAACTTGTGATCCAGTTGCCGATCACCACACTGAGCATGTGGACAATATTCACAGCACTTTACTTTTTTAAAAAAAAAAATTTATTTTGGATAAATGAGCAAAAATGTGAAATAATATACCTTATATTTTCCATTGCCATAATGGGGTATTGTGTGTAAAATTTTAACTGTAGAAAATTAATCCATTTTAGAGCAAAGCTGCAATGCATCAAATGTGGGGAAAAAATGGAATCACGGTGAATACTTTGGAGACGCTGAGGATAATTTGCTGATGTTTGCTGCACAGTGACTGGTTGAATCTTTTCTGATGCCGACTGTTCATCTGTTGTCTCCTCAGCACACCTCGCTGTCCACCAGCCGCACGGACAAGGGTTCGGGCTGGTCCAGCCGCTCGCTGGGTGCCAGATGCCGCAACTCCATCGCCCTGTGCTCAGATGAACAGCCGCACATCGGAAATTACAGGCTGCTCAAGACCATTGGCAAGGGCAACTTTGCCAAGGTTAAACTGGCGCGACACATCCTGACGGGTAGAGAGGTACGTTTTTTGAAGACTTGAACTTCAAGGCTGGATTTACACAGCAGGTCCAAGTAACTAATTCCATAGTAACGTGTGTAACACCTCTAACATAGCATACATTCATCATATTTAATCTCGGTAGAACTGTAATGGGCCTGATTGTGATGTGTGCCTTGCAACATGGACGTAAAAGACTTATTGCAAATTTAACTTGTCTAAAAAAGGTCAGAAAGGAAACATCCTGTCATATGAGTGTTGCCCTGCCGTACACACACACACATGACAACGTGAGAGTAGTTGGCTTGACAAAGGCACTGTTGATCCTGGTTGGTTTGTGGTATTTTTTCGCAGCAAAAAAAAAAATGTAGCTTGTTCTGTACAAAGTGTAGACTGTCTTCATGGAACCTACTGTTTTTTTATGGTCATTGACTTGTGTTCCTTTTGTTTGTTGTTTAGGTTGCAATAAAAATCATTGATAAAACACAACTCAACCCTTCAAGCCTACAGAAGGTAAGTGAATTTTTTTAATATTTAATGAATATTTCGGGTGATGTAAAATTCACTTCCAAATGTTGATTTGTTATCATTTTCAATTTTTTATACCATATATTTCTGTTTTGATTTAAGTCTTTTTATTTTGTAGGTACTTTTATTATTAAAAAAAATATTTTTATATGTTTTACATTCAATCTGTCTGTTTTATATTTTCTTATTTTATTTTTAATGTATATGTTTCACTATATTATAATTGTCTTATGTTCACTATTTTCATGATGAGAGCCTCAGGAACTCATATTGAAGTGAGGGAAAGAGCTTTGTTTAGTTAGGACATAACCATGTCTAAGACCACACCAGCGAATGTTTGAATGACTTTTTCTTAGCTCAAGGTGCCAGTGTGTACCGATCATGTTATCTCCCTGTACAAATCAACATCAAACATGAGGCATTTGGGGCTTTTCTGTCTTGTTTCTAAACCTTGGTTATAGTTTCTCACACTTGGTACAAATTGCTCTTTGTACAGAAAATAAACGTAGCCTTTGTCTGATTATCGGCTGACTTAATCATTACTGTCCCAACAACAAAACGAAAAATCCATTCACCATCGCGCACACGCACACACACACACACACACACACACACACACACACACACACACACACACACACACACGCGTGCGTGCGCGCTGATACACTCACAACACACACAGCTGCCCTATTGATGAGTTGTCTACTGGTTAGCTAACAAGTGTTGATAAACCCAAGTATCGATGGCGTCTGGCCCTCCCTGTGCAATACTGGCTCTCACTGACTCAAAATAGCTATCTAGCTCGACTGTAGTGCAAATGATCTGCTCGTTTTTTTGTTTGTTTGTTTGTTTGTTTGTTTGTTTGTTTTTTAAATGTAAGCGAAGGAAAAAAGCCACCTCAACTTTATTCACAAAGTGACACTGCCAACCATCCGTCTGGTATTCATGTGACAGCCTTTTCACTTAACTTTTTGACAACAATGACACGAGATTTCCAGAAACAATTTGAGCAGATTGTTGTCAAGTAAAGGTACCTAGGTACCACGTGAAACAGCAAATGTGAGGATTTTGGTGCTTTATTTTTTGGGATCCTTGTTTCAGGTGGTATCTGGTACCACAGTCTAGGGCTGAGCGATTTTGAAAAACAATCTGATTGCTATTTTTCCCACTAAATCTGGTTTTTAGAAGATAGCGGCGGCTCGGAAGTCTAAACCGTATGCGGCGAGTGGTTTAATGACCCACAAAAGTCAACGATCCTAAAAGGTTGGTCGCCAAGCGCCCACAACGGCAATGGTGAAATCAGATTGCATCGTTTGAGCCCTTGGCTCCTCTGGCGAAAGGTTTGCACGTTTCCTTTCTTGATAGCACAACCGTTTTCTTTGGCTTTCAGGACGCCGTCGTACCCATGACCGTCCTTTTGTTTTTTTTTTTAATGTTAGATTTATTGTCAAGACGTCGTCATTCCGGTATTTATCGAGCATCTCGCGTTGCATCCACAATTGCAGTTGCAACTTTTTCAGGAGATTGTTGTCATGTAAATGTGCCCTTGTGCGGCCCAGTAGTGACACTGATAAAGTGTTTGGAGACTGTGTTTGAACCGTCGAGCCATGCTGGGAAGCTTCTTTTCTTCTTTTTAGTCCCCTGTGCTGGCCCCCTAAACTGAGAGCTGAATTCCAGACAGGGGAACAAAAGGGCAGCAGGCCGGGTTGCGGATTTGTGGGGCCTGGGCACGGGACAGGAGAAAGACAAGATAGAGAGAAGACACACTACGCGGACTTGGTCGTCTCACCACCTTTTGTCTGCATGTGTAATGCAATTATATGCATTTCTATTGTGTCATATTGTAGGCCCAGAGTGCTTTGTTATGGTTATGTTTGGAGAATATGTAGACAAGAGGACAGCCATGTTGAGAACAGCTTTTCCCACAAGTATTATCAACACAACACTGACAAATTGGGCAACATCTCACTGCCAATACAAAGCACTTCAGGTGAAACAAATGTGGCTTCATTGAAGACCATAGTTCCTGTGCTCAAAACACACTAAAGAAGACCCTGCTACGTGGGGTGGTGTTACTTTCAAGAGGTCAAGGAATCTTGGGACTAGGGTCAGCAACTCTGATAATACTGTATTTGATTAGAATATTCTAGTTCCAGGAACAAGGTGAATGTAAATGTGGTGAAGCTGAAGGTAGCTATGGTATTTTAAAAAAAAAATTATATATGATATATTTATTATTATTATTATTTTTTTTTTATTTCATTTTTTTCCCTCCCCTACTTGTTATAGGAGAGCTTACCGCCAGTAGCACTTATACCACCATATGAGAATCACTCCTCTAGATTGTCCATACAGGCGTGAATCTGAGTGTGAGTGGCGGTTTGTCTATTTGCAATGTGACTGGCTGATAACCACCAGTCCACGGGTTACAACAAACACTTCTTTCACCAAAAGTCAGTTTTGTTTGATTGAAGGCTGTCAATTGTTCATGCTTGTTTGTCTACCAGCCATACCCTCAGCTGCCTACCAGTCCAGGGCGTACTACGCCTCTCCCTTAACGTCACCTTATGAGGAGAAGCGCTATTGAAAATGGGTGGATAAAATCAATGACACAGCGTACCGGTCTGTGCGCTTGTAATCAAATTAAGTTAAGTAGAGCATCTGAGTGCTTTAAGAAGAATTAAGAGGATGAGCCTGTCACCTCCACTTTAAATTTTCCACATCTCGTCAATCATGAGCAGAGATGAATGAGGTTTACATTTCTCTCGAACATTTCCATTCCGCCTTGCTCTTTGAAACCCTGTCTGGATCTTTTTCACTTACTGCCCAGCTGTCATGACAACGGACATGCCGCGTCATGGTTGCTGTGACAATGTCGGCATTAATCCCCCTGAGGGCCACAACGCGGGCTGCACACACAGCTGCTGTGATTTACTCATAAAATGTCATAACGTTTCAAATAGTTACTATGGTCCTCAGTTTACGAAAGGAGTTCCACCCCTATGGAGACGAATCCTTGAAAAGGCCGTGCAGCTTCGATGCCATGCCAATAAGTGATTATTTTGGTCATGGTAATCGGGACTTTTTTTGTAACACCCTATCTGGATTATGGATTCTATTTACAGTAAATTCATAACCACCTCACAACCTCATGCTACTTCATTATGGTGACATCATTTAGGGAGTGCTGCATGCATTACTTGACGTCTGCAGACTCTGGACCTGTTCGACCAGGCCAAATGTCTCATCTCATTTACACAAATGGAGAAAAGTGCAACGTTGCAGTGAGGAAATAAGGAAGTGAAGCTTCTTGGTCTTCACTTACTCTCACGGACTGCGGCCGCATTAATCGTATGTTTCCTTTTTTATTTTTATTTTTTCCCCCCCATGTCGCCGTTTTGCTTTCACGCCATTGTAATTGGGCATTTGACCGAGGAATTTTCCTTCCTTGTATTAGAACCCTTACAGAGGTGGAATTAAGGGCTGTTTCGACAGCTGCTTATTGTTGAAAATAACATTGGAATGAAAAGTCACACATGGATGACTCCACATTCGGCCCTTTAATCTCGCCGACCAAACAAAGGCATTGTCAAAAATCCTGAAACATGTGGGGGGGGGGGGTATATCCATAAAATTGGTGAAATAAAATGTAGTTATTCATTTGATTAAATAATTGTTTGAATGATTTCTTGTACATAATAAATAAAAAAAATGAGTAGAATAAATAATTTAAATTTAATCTGTTTTATTTCAATAAATGTTTGGTTAACTAATTAAAATAATAGTTAATAATACAAATTTGAAAAAAAGAATTCACTTAATAAAATAAACATTTTGCATAGATATAACAAATGTTTAATAATGTATTATAATAGAAATGATTGATTTCCGAACATTAATTATAAATTACATTTATTTAAGCTGATTTTATTAAAATCAAGTTTTATGCATACAATAAAAATGTATTCATTTTAATACATTTAATTATAACTAGTAACATTAAAGAATGAGAATTATTAGATAATCAAATTCATCTATTTTTATGTAATTTGATAAATATTTGAACTTCTTTGTGACCTTATCTAGAAATGCTGTGTCTCATTACTTCGTTTAAAAAAAAAAAAAACATTTAAACACCCCAAAAATGTAACTCTTGCACAAAAGTTTGTCCATCCGTGCGCTATTGTCTACTTTCAGGCGTAAAACATTGTCACACCCGACACTCACATGTCACGCCTGTTGTGTCGAAAGCAGTCATCTTGCAAAGTATTGCTGTGTGAAAGTGCACACAGGGTTTGGTTTTAAAAAACAAAGCGAAGGCGGGACGTCTGCATGAAACTGGCTGAAGAAATGAGACTTTGGCAGCAGCTGTGCATTTTACTGTGATTACTGACAATAGAAGATGCTTGTTCTGAGTCACTGGTGTGTGGTCACCGTGTAAATTTAAATCAAGTACACCTGGACTTGCTTAGCTGCTGCATGACTAAAGCAAATTAATATAGATGGGAAATATACATAGTGCTTCACTTTTTAAACATTTTGTTACAAGAACCAATAAGTTGATATTTTCCCCTCGAAAATCTAGAAACAACACACGATGATCATGTTGTAAAACAAGTTTTTCTTTTGTCAAGATTTTTTTCCTGATTACAGTAAGAATAAATGGAGAAAGTATTCAAATGTCACAGCCTTCTTGTGAGATTTTGTAATTTCATTTTTCCCCCTTAAAGTTCAACATAAAAACATCTCTATCCCATAATTACAATATGAAATCTGTTAAAACTAAAATCACGCCTACAAAAGTATTTCGGTGAATGAATACCAGTCTGGAATAAGGCTATTATGTAATGTGAAAAAAATACGGAAAAATTGAAACCGTTTGAGTACTTTCTGCAGGCACTGTATTCACGTTGCATTTCCATCATCATCGTACACTCCACATATGGTTTCCAGTAACATTCCCCTCTTGAATGGCTTACTGCACTGTTAATTACCAATCCTACTGAAGTTGTGATGTATGCAGTACATCGTCATCATCAGGCAGTTCTTAATATTTAAGTATTTATGGGCAAAATGCATCAGCCTTGTCATATTTGTTTATTAAGCTTGAATCAAGTCGTTTCCTTATCAGCACGCCCTGAAAATGACATTCTGGAAAATGTTTTATTATTGAATACCCAGAAGGGTGGGTGGGGCAGTGTGGTGGGATGAGACAGTAGTGTTGAGCATCATAATCGGGGGGTGCAACACATCCAAGGCGGAGGCCGACTGTTAGGCTGTACTGCAGTCACGCGCCCCTGTGGGTCACCAAAGCTGTATGTGTGAGAATGAGCCACATTGATGATATATTCTCTCCTTTTTCTAGCTTTTTCGTGAGGTACGCATCATGAAAACCCTCAACCATCCCAACATCGGTGAGTCACACTTAAGTGTGTCTATTGATCTTTTGGTCCGTTTCATTTATTGTGACCTTTTGCATTTGTGTGCTACAGTCCAGCTTTTTGAGGTCATAGAGACGGAGAAGACTCTATATTTGATCATGGAATACGCCAGTGGAGGTCGGTGACGCCAACGCACACATACTAATTTATATAACATAATTAATTTTTTTTTTTTTCGGAAAATGGCTATATGTTTTTACTGTCTGGAGAGGAGCAACACAGCACACCACACACATAAGCCTGTATGTCGTAGTACTTAGACTGAACTGTGAGAGGCAACTGGGTGCCACAGGGCATCCAGAATGAAGAAAGAGTAGTACAGGTAGTAGAAGAAGAAGAAGAAATACAAGAAGCTACTGGCTAAATGTGATCTTGTCTGGCAAGCTGTTTTTTTCATTTAGGTGAAGAACTTTAAGGGACATGTACAAACACTCAGCACAGCTCAAATGCTCCTCTAATTGTGTGTGCCAACAATGTCACCTTCAGTGAGCTTCTCTTTTGGATTGAGCAGGAAGTCCGCTTTGGCCCAACTTGGTTTTGAACACACCCATAAAGGTTTTCAGTCGTAAATATTGTAAACGGTTAACATTTACGATTGCCGGCCGGACCGTTTTTCGAGGAGCTGGCACGGAATGGAGTAAAACTCTCTCTTAATTAACGTAGCACACTGAGCACAGCATAATCTATCTTTGTGCACCCCACACATCATAATCGATCTCAATACACTCCATGCCACAGGATAATTGTTCAGGATACTTTTTAGAAACTCACTTTTAAAATACTCAAATTCAGACCAATTGTTGGTATATGTGCTTCCAGATCTGTCACACTTGAATCATTTTTATTATGCATGAGCACACAATGCAGCGAAAACTAGCGCCTTCCTAATTTGAAAGCTTCTGTTTACCTTTCTTCTTTCATCTCTGTGCTGGTGTCTCTCCTGCCTGCCGACAATATCTAACAAGGAGCGAGCACACAAAATGGGAGACAAACGCACACTATCCAACGTCAAATGAACTGACAGAGCAGCCAGTCTCAATCTACTCACACAATAAAGTAGTCCATATCACAAACTGGAGATGACTTGTGACTCCATTTAAAAAAAAAAAAAAAAAAAGAATTAATGTACTGTGTGTCAAAGTAGCTGACTCACCTTCAGTTGTTTGGCCAACACGTTAGACCAGATTGTGGTTGTTCTTTTTCCGCCAGATGGATGAATATTTACATATTACATAAACTCCAGCTGTTGGATTTATTGGAGCTTACAAAGATGAAGTGTGCTTTAGTGTATTCCTGAAGAAAGGACACAAAAGGAGACAGACAAATGAGGCTTTTTTTTTCCAACCACAAATTGTTGTTTTTTTTTTTTTTTTTGTTTTTTTTGCTTGCTTGTTTGTTTTTTTTTACAAGGCATCAAGCTACTTGTTAGCCTCGAGTCTCAAAAAAGTGACAAGCCATCAAAAAGACCACCCATCAATTTGCTGAGTTGGAGTCTATCCAAGCTTACTTTGGAGGCAATCTTTCATTGTTTGAAGGGGGATGCAGTTAACAGTTAGCTGACAATTCATTATTTGTTATTTATGACCCCACAGTCCCCACTTTACTGCAGCGATTCTATCAGTTTCTCGAATAAAACAAGCTGTCATTCCAAAAAAAAAAAAAAAAAAAAAAAATTTCAAAGGCCTAGAAGCATAGCTTCTGTTGACGTTTCGTTCACGCATCCTGAGAAAGTTAACACTGCCATTTCAAAGCAAGTGGATGAAAATCTCAGTCTCTGAGGTGGATTTGTAAAAAAAAAAAATAATAATAAATTGTCAGAGACCCCACTTCTCCACCCTTGTTTTTGTTTGTAGTGTCCCAGAGCAGAGTTGCTTTGATTCTGCAGTGTTACTTTATTATTGTTGTTTAAAACTGCAATCAATGTCATTGACATTCAAGCTTGTCATCACTCGCAGGGGAGGTGTTTGACTACCTCGTGGCTCACGGCCGCATGAAGGAGAAAGAGGCCCGCGGCAAGTTCCGACAGGTCGGTTCCAACTTCTCCCTACTTGTATTTCTGATGAATAAGAAAAAAAAATGACGCATTTGCTGCACCATACACAGTAAAAAGCATGAGAGCCAGCAAAGATCGGCTGTAGTTTAGCTGTGTGACAGAATGACACTACAGACTATTTCACTGGGTTACACTGCAGAATAAAATAAACAGTGGCAGTGAAATAATCTATTCAATTGTCCACTGTATATGAAGCATGTTTTCTTGTCTTTACACAGATTGTATCAGCTGTGCACTATTGCCATCAGAAGAACATTGTTCACAGAGACTTGAAGGTGAGTGCACACCAAAGTATAATAATAATAATTTACAGACACAATTTGTGCGGAAAAAGTTTTTGGATTTAGTCATATAAATATGTGCCACTATGACATCATCTTTTGTGCTCCACCATCTAAGGCAGAGAATCTGCTGCTGGACGCCAACTCCAACATCAAAATCGCTGACTTTGGCTTCAGCAACGAGTTCATGGCTGGCAGCAAGCTGGACACCTTCTGTGGCTCACCACCCTATGCCGCACCCGAACTTTTCCAAGGCAAGAAGTACGATGGCCCTGAGGTCGACATCTGGAGCCTGGGTGTCATCCTCTACACGCTGGTCAGCGGCTCGCTGCCCTTTGATGGCCAAAACCTGAAGGTGGGTATCATAATTGTATCATTGTCTCTGTGGCCGAAACTCATCTGGATTTGTGTTTCGTTTAGGAGCTGCGTGAGCGTGTCCTGAGAGGGAAATACCGTGTGCCCTTCTACATGTCCACAGACTGCGAGGGAATCCTGCGCCGCTTCTTGGTCCTAAACCCAACCAAGCGCTGTTCACTGGAGGTGAGTGGCAACATCTGTAGTAGGAATGAGCCATTCGTTCAAGTTTATTTCAGTGTGATTTATTATTTCTCTAAATGTTTTATTTTAGTGCAGTCTGTTGTGCAAAGCACATCCCTGCTGATATTCTCTGCTCACACTAACGCCATGCTCTGCGAACAGAGAGGTGCATTCAGTGTTGCTAGTTGAATGAATTGATTGCAGTCCTTTATTTGGTGACTTTTCCGACCCCCTTCGTAACTATTTTTGTAAAATGGGTTCAGCGACTACTTCTTGCCAAAAAAAAAAGGAATGGTACAATTCACTTCAATGACAATGTTGTTAGGCCATATAGCGCAGCCCTATCTTGCAGTCATGATAAGATATAATAATTTTGCTGACATGAATTTACCAGCAAATCATGAAAGACAAGTGGTTGAATGTGAGCTACGATGGAGAGGAGCTAAAACCTCACAAAGAGCCCGAGGAGGACTTCAACGACAACGTCCGCATCGGTGAGTAAATACCATGAGAGCGATTAAAGCACTGATTTGAAGCTTGCATGACTTTGACACTTGGTGTTGCAGATGTGATGGTGGGGATGGGTTTCACGAGGGAGGAGATCCGAGATTCTCTGGTCGGTCACAAGTACAACGAGGTGACGGCCACGTACTTGCTGCTGGCACGCAAGAACGAGGCAAGTATGACATGTATGGGATTGTGGTTGTTTCTGTATGATACACTCCAATTCGATATGATTCGCTGAAATTTCATTGTGTTCCAACTCATTAACATGCAATGCACTCCAATTATGATACTATTTACTCCAAGTACTATACGGCATTCACTGCAATTACGACATGATTCATGCCAACGACATGATTCACGTCAGTTGCCGTGAGTTGTAATATTATACAATCTGATTCACTCAATTTATGAGGATGCAATTAAAAATGCAATTACGATGTAGTATGATATGATTCACACCAACTACAATACGTTGTAGTTCACTTCAATGACAATGTTGTTAGATATGATTTGATTTGCTGCAATTACTGTACAAATCTCTCCGATGCGATTCACTCCATATTATTCCCACCAATTGCATTCCAGTATGATACATAATAATCCCAATCTCTCTTTTTACAATACAATTTACTTCAATTCTGATCTGTTATAATGCAATTTCAATTTGATAGGATTCTTGCCTTTTATTTTAATAAACTCCAAACTTGGCTCTGTTTCTTCTGTGACGTGCTCTGTTCACACTCCCAGCACAACACTGTCACAAAATGTCATTGCAGTCACTCTCTGTTGTCTCAGGCCGAAAGCACCGTGTCCCGCTCAGGCAGCAGTCTGAGCCTGGCTCGCGTCAGGCCCGGCACCATCGTCAACGGTACCAGCAAACACTCTACTTCCTCCGCTGCGGCTGCGTCCTCCTCCTCAGCCTACAAGCCACAACGCAGCGTCTCCACCTATCAGCGCCAGAGACGGCACTCTGACTTCTGTATGACTTCTTGACATCACATCCCCGAAGCTTCAAACCGGCCCTAATCTGCTTGCATCTTTTGTCTCGCAGGTGGTCCGGCAGCTCCTGGGTCAGCGCACCCCAAGCGCAGCCCGAGTGGGGTGGGAGAAGTTTCTGGACTTAAGGAGGAAAGGCTCTCAGTCCGCAAGTCCAACAACAACACCGTGGGTTCTCGGAGCATCCCGACGCCCTCTAGCCCGATGGTCAGCTCTGCTCATAATCCCAACAAAGCCGAGATTCCCGACAGACGGAAGGAGGCCAACTCCGCCATGGTAACATTCAAAAATGTATATCTTTCACTGAGTTACATTGAGTCCATGCATCCATGTGTTGAGATTAGTATCCGGCAGATTAACTTTAGGTAAAATGCTATGTTCAAGAATCCTCCCATTCTTGAAATGTGTGGGCTCATGTAATGGGTATATTCAGTTGTTGGTTGCTGATGCTTTTCAAGGTGGAAATGTCATCAAAATTTGTGACTTTTTCAAGATGGAGGAGTAGCACCTTGAGCCAACTCTGTAGCCAGCCGGCTGTTATGTTCGTCGAGTCATCTCAGCTTTTTTTTTAGAACACGTTTTAGCAGTGAGTTGTTACTTCAAAGAACAAAGACAGTCAAACGATTTTGCCAAGACAATTTCAGTTGAGCATCTAAAAAAAAACATGCAAATTTTTGTGCACACAGACCTTCTGGCACTGCAAATGGCTCATTAAATCAGATATAGATGTCTTGATTCCTTTGCCGACACTTGGATAACTGGAACAATTGAAAAAAAATCAAGCAGCAGCCACATTAACCTGAAATGAACTCTTTAATGTATTTAAATGCGCGTGAGTCCTCTTTTGGATTTGAGTCACATGACTTTCCTCGAGTCAGACTTGAGTTGCCAATTTTAGGACTTACTTGGCTAACAGTTACGAGAGACTCAACTTACTTAACACTTGCTAGCATCAAATTGGGTGAAGTTCGACATCTACTTGGCCATAACCAGCTGGAACGCAGCTCATTCGTTATCTTACAAAATGTTTTTGTGAAGTAATTGTACATATAATTTATTAATGTGTAAATAAATACTGTCAGTGCTGATAGGAAAGTTAAACTGCGATGTATTTTAAAATTGCGGTATGCTGTACCTTGAAACCAGCAAACGCCTCATACCTCGTGTAAATATATATTTTTTTTGTGTTATGATCAATGTGAAATGTATGTTATGACTGCCAAGGTCGCAAAGTTATATCACTTGACTTTCAATTTACTTCAAATTGATTTGTCCTGACACTTCAAACTTGAAGGTTAAGACTCATTTATAACTTGCTCATGCAATATGTGACTGAAGCCCACCTCTGTTGAATTGGACATATTTTGTTGTTGACGTCTTTCCCCACCTCCTCATCCCCCGCAGAGTAATGTCGCTGCTAGTGGCATGACGCGAAGGAATACATACGTCTGCAGCACAGACAGACACTCATTGTTGCAAAATGGCAAAGAAAACAGGTGAGAAGCATTTCCAACTGTAAATACATGAGGTCTCCTCTTCTTTTTGATTACTCGAATAGCCAATAAATATGATTAAAATGACTTTGGGCAGAGATTTCACTAGAAATTTGTCTTGCATGTTTGGCGGGGTAAAGGTTTGGAGCTAAACAAATTGATCTGTGTGTTTATGGAGTCAGCATGAGATGTCTTGTTGTGACAGATGGTGTTGGTGCTTCTGAGTGTGTCAGACACAGTCGCCTCTTGCCGTTCGCTATGTCTGTCTTTCACTCACGTTGGCTCATCCCTAACTTAGCCTTCACGACAACATTGTACCCCATCGTCTTCACTTTGCTGCGGTGAAGTTGGTCTCCTTGCTGTAGCCAGAGCCCGCATCTTTTCAACTAAATACAGGACATTTATCAGTGATACTAGCTGTTACTCTAGCAGGAGCTCATGTGTGGGAGGAACATTACACAACATTAACTTAAGAGTGAACCAATAGCATAATAAGATTAAATGAAACTAAATCAAGTAGGATTATTGGTACTTGTCCTTTGAAGACTCCTGATAGTCACACAACGGAGAGCAAAGAGCAAGAAATCAAATGAATAAATCTTTGTGATTAAGTATCAGGACTAAGTTCGATTTCCAGCAGCACGCTAGATGTGTGGTTAGCACATCTGCCTCGCCGTTCGGAATTTCAAAGTTCTTTGTGGACTTTGGACGTTCTCCCTGTGTTGGCATGGGGATTTCCTCCTACTTTCCCAAAACATGCTTATTATTATTTACATTGAAGACTCTAAATTGTGAGTGCGATGCTTACAATCTTGATTTACTCTAGAAAAGCAAAGACTAATTATTATTTTTAGTGAATCAAGAGTTATTAAGTCAAAGACAGCGCATAATAAAGTAGGAGGAAGCATTGTGGTGACAAAGTTGCAATTGGCCCAGTGCCCACATCAACACCACCCTCCATGCCTACATTTGCCTCCGAGGCTTTGTCAATGTTAATGCCATGCCACGCTGCTTTGATGGGGTAAACACGTGCAGGTCCACACACGCACACACTCTTTGGTGAATTCTTTTAACACTTGAGAAGAGAAGCACCTGTGCGAATAGACAGAAAATATCTGGTTTTAGATTTGGTGAAGCAACACATGGCTCGTCATCCAAGATTACTTTACTCTTCTATATAAAGTGGCACCTTGACCAACGAGTTTGATTCGTTCCGTGACCACTCTTCTTAACTCATATACTCGTCTCTCAAATCAGCTCATCGAACTGATGTGAATTTGTTCCCGCCACCTCAAAAAACACTACCCATTATTTTCATGTTTTGTTTATTTCATAAGTGAGAAATAGTACTAGGCAGTATAACACTGTACAGTTTCAAGCCTACAATAGTTACAAAATTAAATTGAATTTAAATAACGAAAACAGTTTTTGCAACGTGCTTTAATTCAGTGGACGTTGATTGTGTTGCTCCTTCTGGCCATTGGATGGACATTTCATCATATTCAGAAACATAATGCACATAAATTTGACGATGAAGAACAAAGATGACCAATGAAACTAAGATGCACCAGGACAAATAGTTGTTGGCAGAGCAAAAAGAATTCATGGCTTTGCGTATTGTTAAATGCTTTGTTTTCCTGTGTTGCTCCCGCTTGTGTTCCAATGTTTAGAAGATGTTTATATTTACTGCAACATCAATGCTGCTTTAGTTAGCTTATGTGTGATTTGTGTGGTGTGCGTTACTGTGTGTGCGTGCATTTCTGCTATGTAGAGCGAAATGAAAAGCAGCCTGAGGGTAATATTGAAGGATTAGGTGCGCACATGCATTAGTGCTCCATGAGAAGACGAATGCCCTCCTGGAACTCCATTCGGGTAAAAAAAAAACAAAAACGTTTTTCCTCCCCTTGTTCTTCCACCCCAGTTCGATTTCCCATCGGCTGCCCCCCGCTTCTCCCTCCACCCACAGCATCACCGGCGCATCAGCCATGTCGTCCTCCTCCACCTCCACGCCCTCCTCGCGTCTCTCCCGGGGCTCCACGGCCAGGAGCACCTTCCACGGCGGGCAAATCCGAGACCGCCGGCCGCCCTTACATGTGACACCAGCCTCGCCCACCTTGTCGCATGACACTGGCGGCACCCTGTCCGGTGCCAGGACCCCACGCACCACCAGCAACCTGCTCAGCAAGCTCACCTCCAAGTTGACCCGCAGGTAAGCGGAGAAGCCGCGGGAGAAAATCATGGCGGGAAGAGGACACATCTGCTGACTCTGGACTAGCGTTGTGGCTAAATGTTTAGCAGGCTAAAAACGGACATTTTTAAGTGCACTGGATGATGATGTGCTGTGGACTCATTTCAATGACTTCTATTAGTACATAACGATCTCATCTACTAACAAAGTCAGCTTTTATTCTTTTTCAATGAAGCTTTGACAAGTTGTCCGCCTCAGGTTTACATCTTTAGCCTCGTTTCCACCAGGCAGAACAATTCGGTTCAATATGGTCCAGATAAATCCTGATCAGGTTTTAGTGTCCAGCGCAGGGGTGTGGAAGCAGGATGGCAATAGCTACATAAACGGTCTAAAAAAAAAAAAAAAAACATCATAGTGTACCACCCTTTTTTTCCAGCAGGCAGTACAGTTTAGTTTTGGTACAGTAGTCTGAGACATGGCGATAACTTCATAATCCATGTAAAAAAAAATGTGACTTCGTATCCACCTGGTAGTGCAGGTTAATTTGATACGGTTCCGGTAAATGGCGAGCAGGTCTGTTTTCACTGCGGGGATGGAGATAGCTGAGTCCGCGCTGTCGAGAGTGTACCATCGTAGCGCTGCTTTTCCACGCTACAGTTAACAACTCAGAACATCTCTATTGGCCTTCGATGCTTCTTCATTGGCAAAAGCAAACACGATGGTAATGGCAATGCTTAAAGTGTGCACATTTTGACACTACTTGACAAGAACTGACAAAAGTATGCGCTAGCTTTAGCTAACCTTGAGGACCTTGATCTTTTTTTGTATCATTTTTGCTGGATTCTGACGTATGATTTACTGAGTTTCGTTTATGCCACAGTTGTTTGGTAGAATTTTGTCAAGCTGTTGCCGTGAACACTTGAAAGACTGCAAATCCAAGTGTTTAGCAAGTTAACAATTCTATTTTAACTAAGCAAATAAAAAATTGAAATAATTTATGGTTCATTTGCCTTTACTTTCGCATAAGGCTGACTTTTAACAATTCTGTGTAATGAATTTGATATTTTTTATTGTCATACAAAAGTTCTAAAGATACCAAAGTTAGCTTTAGCCTGTTGCTGTGCCTTCGCTTTCCCTCGTCCACACTTGGCTGCTGCGCTCCCAGTCTCCATATCGTATCGACGAAAAGTAACGATTCTGTCAAACTTTTAACCTTCTGAAAAAAGCGTGTCCGGCTGAACAGAACGTTGTGGCTTTGTGGGAACGAGATTTTAATGAAAGGAACCTCTCAGTTCATTCACACTGAGGTATCATATCATTGTATGGCATTACTTCTTGCATTGAAGTGCCTCCCCGCAGTTTTTGTGACACATTACGACATATTTGATGACGTTTGCGCCTTGTGATGGCGTCCGTCTGATGTGGACAACTTTCTTTTCCACGCGTTGCGTTCTGCTTGTTGTTGCTTTTCAGTGTTTGCTTGATTGTCTAACCACGTTTGCTTCCCCTCACCAGTCACCTGCCGATTTGCCATCCTGTCTTCTTCTTCAATCTTCTGCTTTGTTTCCTCTCACCTCCATGTTGTTTTCCTCCTCTCCTCTCCCACTTTCTTTCTTTGCCCTGACACTCTGCTCTTATTGTCATTCCATACCTCCTCTTCCTCTTCTTCCAGGGTCACTCTTGACCCATCTAAGCGTCAGAGTTCAAACAAATCCGTGTCGGGCTGCAACCTCCCGCAAGCCACAAAAACAGTTAGTAAGTCTTCCTTTCCCATCTTTTCTGGCTGCTGTGTGTCTCGCTACATGTCCATCTGTGTCTACCCGTGTGTTTATCTAGCTGTCCCTATCACTGGTTGGAGTGTACTGTAAGCATGTATTGGCGGTATGTAAGAATTTTGGTCTTTAATATTTAAACTTTGAAATCATAATGTCATCTGACAGCGGCTGTAACCAGCAGCAACCCGAGTGTCTGTCTGCACTGTTTGCGTGCCTGACTTAAAGTCTATGAGTGTGTGTGTGTGCGTCTGTGTGCATCGGTGAAGTGCATGCTTGTGTCATCTGCGATCGGTTGTATGAAGAGAAGAGAGCGTAAGAGGTGGGTGTGGCCCTGGTTTGGGCCGCAGTGCCGCCCCTATGGGTTGAACAAGGTAGAGCAGTTTATTGGGGTTTGGGGCTTTGTACATAGAGTAGGTGTAATGGGCCTCACGGGAAAGAAAAAAAAATAGTCGAAGTTTAGAGTGGAAGAGTGTAATGTTAATGTATATTTGTGTGTGTGTGTTTTTTTAATTGCATAATAAAACCCTTGCTTTAAGGAACTCAAGGCTCAATCTACCTGCAGGGGAAAAAAATACTCCATAGTTAGAAAGTCGCTCTCTAAATTAAGTCATTGATTTGGAAAACTCCTCCACAAAGAAAAAATATATTTTTAAACTTTTCTTTTTTTTTCTTCAATTCTGATCATACTATGCTTGCTCGTTAGGTAGTGCTATACAAATGGAGGTGGCTTTTAAAGTTAAAGTTGTTTCCAAAGAATAGAATTGTGTGTGTGTGTGTGTGTGTGTACGTGTGTGTTGGTGTGGTTTAAGAAGATGGCAGCTTGTGCCCGCGTGATCCTGAGCGAGTGTCTTTGCTGTTTCCCAGCAAGGTTAAACGATGTTAATCTCCTTTGCCCTGCTGTTGGACCAACACTTTACACAGTTTGGGTTTTGTTCTGCTACTGCTATTGTATTCTCTTGCTGTCCTCCCATCATGCACCTGTACTCTTCTCCACATTTATTCAGCCTTACTTTGTCACACAACAGGTCTCTGAGGTGTCAAGATAAAATCAGTCACAACACAGATGCAGCAGAACACATGACTGTTTCGTGTGAAGTCCTCATATTCATTGTGTGTGCTGTTTACATCTGATCACTGTGATGGATGAGTAGCCATGTTATGTGTTTTAATCAGTGTACTCATTGAGGTAGAACTTAAGCAGGAGGTGTGTTTTTTCATGTTATTGTTTTTTTTTTTCCTGGTTGTTTTCTAATAGACATCTTTTGTCTTCCTCTTGAGGGTCACAGACGAACCTGAGAGAATCAGCAGATCTCCGGTCACAAGGTGAGTTGTGAAAGATTTTCAATCTAAATTTTCAGCATTTTTCAATGGGGCAAAAAAAGGGTTTTTTTGGAAAATAAATGTATGAAAAAATAAGCCACAATTTTGGAGAAGAAAATTTATTTGTAAAACAAGAATTTGTAAATTATTGTAATCTTATGGCAGAGGTCTTTTTTGTTGTTGTTCAGATAAATCATATACACAGTAATCAAACTGTGGTGTCCTACTTATGTGAGCAAATCTATATTTAATTATACCATATAAGGATCAAGCATGAGAATTAGCAAACCGTTAATGCACAAATGTGCCTTTTGTTTCTTAAAAGTTGTGTTTTTCCTCTCAGTGTCTCAGGCTAACAACAGCAGCAGGTAACGTTAGCTTAGTTAGCCGTGCTGTGGTTGCTCGTAGTTGACCATCCCGTGAAAAAAAGAGAGAAAAAAAAGCAGAGAACTCTATTTGCACAACATAGGCCTCCTTTTTCACCCTCTTTTGACTTGTGATGTAGAAAGTAGTCATTCGGAAAACTTAGATATTCATTGTGGAAAAAAAAAGATTTAGAGAAAAATGTATTTCCTCAAGTTTTCCTACTTTCTCCCTTTCATAATTTTGTTTCTGTAAATTGTGAATTTCTCCATTGTGAGACAAATAAAGGGTTTCTTATCTTAAATAGAGGAGTCAGCAGATGTGGCATCTACAAACCTGATATGTGTGTTTTTTGTCAGAAAAGCTGCTTAACAATTTATCCATGTCCTTAAAGGTAACAAATGACAGTCAGTGATTAGTATAATCAAGGCTCGAAAAAAGCAGTTTTGTGAAACAATACCTTCATTTCAGGAGCAACTTTCTAATTTTGTAGAGATATTTTTTTTGTTGTTGTTTTTACAGGTTAATCCCACTGATAGAAATATTTCATACTATACTAATATACTTTTAACCTTTTGAGCCAGCCCACCTGATATACGGTGTAGCGTACCGTAATTCTTTTCCGGTTCCGGTTCTTTTATGGTGTGTATGATTTTTCTCTTCAAAGTCCAGACACTTTTTGACTTGTTCAAAGTTGGATGTCCTCTGTTTTAATGCAGTGATTAGATAGACAGATTTTGATTTGGTTCTGTGTTTTAATATGGTGATTTTATATATATACACACACAGAAATAATAATTTAAAATTTACATACAATATGAAATATAACATAATTTTTTTTTTTTAGAATATAAGTCTTATTAACGCAAGTTGTGTCTAGTTCTCAGCAATTAATGACCAAAAGCCCTTGGTTACTATATGAAGGGATGTTGTATTTAAATTGAACTAATGTGTGACAGTAATCTATTTTTCCTCTTGCTTTCTCTCCGTCAAACTCATCATAACTCATCTAACCTCCATTCATCCCCCCTCCCCCTCCCTCTTTCACCACCCCATATTTTATTCAGTCGCCATATATCTGGGCATCAGAAAGCGGCCGAGCCCCGGACCCCCCGAAGCGGCTGGGATGTGAGGGTCCGCAGCCCCCGCGACCCAGCCGAAGTGGTCCTGGCTCTGCGGGAGGCGGCCCAGGGCTGCGGCTGCCAAGTCCATCTGGCGGGCCCCTTCCTGCTGTCCTGCACGCATGGAGCGGCTGGCGCCCGTGTGGCCTTTGAGGCCGAAGTGTGCCAGCTGCCTGGCGGGCCGGCGCAGAGCAGCGGTGTGCGCTTCAAGCGCCTCTGGGGGGCGCCGCTCGCTTTCAGGGACATCGCCACCAAAGTGTCCAAGGAGCTGGAGCTCTGAGGGCTGAGGGGCAGGGGCTAAGTCAGAAAATACTGAAATGGCAGGGAAGAAGTGGGTGCAAACTCCTCGCCATGCCTCCGCCAAAGACCCTCGTTCTGTGTCCCATCTTGAACTGCTGAAAACAAGCGAAAAGAGAACATCACTCAAACACACTTTATTTCATTATGTTTGACTGATCAGCTACCAACGAGTGTTAAGACCACATTCAAAAGAATAACAAAATACTCAGACTAAAGTCAGAACTATCATACAATAAAGTCGGGAGAAAAAAAGAATCTCATGAGAATTGTCGGTTTTTTTTCAAGGGAATCATGTATTTTTCAGAGAAAAAAGGAAATATATATTGAAAAGAAAATTGTCATATTTTCGTGAAAATTATGACAAAATATGACTTATGTAAGATCCCAATTTGAATCTGGTCGTATCATCTATTTGTTTTTCTTTGTTTTATTGCGGTCTTAATACCAGTTCATAATTACCTATGGTTTTATTCCCCAATGAATTTTTCATCATTCCTTCCTGAAGCTGCTATTTACAGTCACATTTTTCAACTTTCGATTCAAAAGAACAGACAGCAAAAAATGTGTTACATGTTACACGCCGAAGTAGCGATGCTGCATTTTGACCTCCAGCCTCTAGAGGGTGACATGCAGGAAACAGTTACAAATTCTGCTTTGTGTAGTAGGTTTTTTTTTTTTTGGTTTGTTTCTTTATTTTTGGAAGATGAGGCAGATTGGATTAGTTGGTTCACGCTCACACACCTTTGGCTCCCAATCATTGTGATGTTAGCATAAAAAAAAACTGACAATAAAAATGACAATGTGTCATTGTCTTCATGCAAGCATCCAATCGGACTTCTCAAATATATTAATGCTCTCAGACTTTTTGCTAACTAGCATCACGTTAGCTTTGGCACGCAAATGCTGATTAACGTTAAAAAGAAAAATTAGATTGAGTTCCTGCCGTTGTCTTAAAGCACTTAACATGTGTGATGTATTTTTGGGTTAACACGAACACACACTTCGCTGATAAGCTTCGTAACATTAACACAGGAATATTTAAAATTCAAAGATACCCAGAATATTGGATTTTTTTTATGATTAAATGATATGTCATCATAATCTTAAATCACCAACCAATGGAGAGACAAAAAGCTTTGTCAGTTTGTGGCTGGTCTTCAGCTGGTGACTGAAGACGGCAAGCTGTGTTGTCTTTTTCTTTTGGGACCTCCAGGACATCACTTTAGTGCATACTGTAGCCGTCACTGTTTTTAATTTATGGAGCGAGCTGCAGTCCTCAAAACATCATGTGTCATAAATAAAGACTTTCAACCTCTGATATTCCCAGATCATCTTTTTTTCTCATGCACTCATGTATCATCTGGAAGAGGAATTAACTCATTACCTAATTAACTTTGGCTAAGCAGCAATCAGGAACGTGTTGCTACCGCCATTAGATTTCTAGTGCTTTGGCGAGTAAATGTGGAATGTATTTGTTAACAGCATAGCACTTAACACCTTGGAGATGACAAAGGTGTGTTCATTGAGTTTTGTCAAATGACTGAATAGCATTTGGGGTGCCGGAGGTGTAATGTTGTGGTAAAAAAGTCCCAATTTTTCTGCAATGTTCTTTTGAAGGTAAGAATACATTTTTTCTTCCTAAAAAACAGGCATGGAAATTTTACTGGCTGCATTTTTTTAAAATACTTTTTCACGCACATTTCTTATTTTTCTTCGATTTAAAATGCTGTATTGTTATGAAGGAAACATTTTTAAGAAAAAAAATTGTGGGGGAGGGGGGGAGTTATTTTTGAGAGACCGCTTACATGTCTTTACTTAGGTGGCGTGTGCTGTTCTTTGGCCATTCCCCATTTCCGGAGTGTAGCTAACAGTCAGTTAGCATAAAAGAACACAAAACACAAAGTAGTTTGTTTTTAAATGGGGCATTTGTTTATTAGTCCAGTTTTAATTTACCACCAGAGAAATATTAGGCAGATGGATTGATCCCAGGATGTCACAGAGGAGAAAAAGAGGAAGGGAAAAGAAAGAAAAGGAGGATACCGATGATGTCAAGGAACAACCAGGCTTTGTTTTGGTTTTGATATTTATAAAAAAAAAAAAAACATAGTCATAGCGTGATGGTTGTTGGTCTTTTCGTTTACTTCTGGGCGGGGACCATGCCGTCGATGGACTCGCCCTTCTCCAACTTCTTCTCCATCTCCACCATCAGCTTGACACCGTCCACCACCAACTGAACCTGGTACACCTCGGAGGAGCCCAGACGGTCAGCGTTGGAGATGTCGAACACGCCGCCCACGGAGGCCGTGTCGACGCCACCTAGAGGCAGAAAGTAAGATCAGGTTTGGTCGCCCGCCTCGCAGAAATACTGGCTTTGAAATAAGGGATGAGCAGTGGGGGATAGCGACCGGCCCGGCTGGCAAATCTGCATAGAACTGATAGCCATTGAAATTTATTGTGATTTTTGGGCGGAAAACCATAACAATTCTTCCAAAACGCAGATAAATATTCAATATCCATTTCCATGAAAAACAGAGGGAGCAATAAAAAAATGTTGGGGAAAAAAAACTAACCGCCAGTATACGGGGCTCCAATGTGTTAAAAAGAAAAATGCATTTCTTTAAAAAAAAATAGTTTTAAAAACTGGAGGAAGACAAGTAATTTTTGCGAACAAGACTTTTTTTGCTGAGAAATTCAATTTAAAGAATTTTTAAAAAAATTGTCAGGGTTTTTTTTGTGCCAAAAAATAAAAATACGTAATCTTATAAAAGGTGATTTTGTTTAGATGTACAGTTATGTTATGAGAACAAAGTAAAAATGCCTGATTGTTTTAAAAAAAAAAATGCTGATTTTTTTTCAGATGTTATTTTTACAGTGATTTTTTTTTTTTTATTAAGAAATTACATTCAAGGATTTGATGTATCTTTTGGAAGGTGACTTTTTTTCACTGTTTTAGAAAAAGAAAAATTGAAAAAAGTGAAGCGAGCAGAGCCCCCGTTGAGAAGTGAAGTGGCGCGTGGTGGTACCTGTGCCGCGCTTCTGCAGGCGCAGTCTGGTGAGGATTTCCTCAAACTTGGGGTGTGTGCTGAGCTTGGGAAGCTTGACGTGGACGCCACCGCGCAGGCCGGTGCCCAGGTTGGATGGGCAGGTGAGGATGTAGCCCAGGTGCTCGTTCCACATGAAGCCGTGGTTGTGCTTCTTGAAGATCTCCTCAATCTGTGGAAAAGCCAATTTGTCAACATATTCATTCATTGTTTTTTTTTTCGTTTGTTCTTTGCTTACCTTCTGCAGACCCACGCAGAAGCGCCTGAACACCTCCTTCATGTTGCCGCCCTTCTGCATGGAGATGACGCGCAGGTGATCCTCCTCGTTCACCCACACCAGGAAAGTCTTGTTGTCGTTGTGCCTGCATAACCAAATCAATGTCACGATCTATCTCTCTGTCTATCTCTCTGTCTATTTATTGTGTTTCCAACTTGTTCAGCCAATTAGGGAAATATTTTTTTCGACTTTTTTTCCCATATATTTATTCTGTCTGTCACTGCATGTCACCGGTCAAGAATGACAAATTGTCCGTCAAGAAATGCAGATGTTGGGACCAGTTGCGCAACATTTTGCAATCACAGCTCAGGAGGTTGAGGAAAGGCGTTGTCGGTTGTTTTGGACTCACCAGATGCCCCTGGCGTCAGGCCAGTCGCGGGCCATGCCGGCGCACGTCAGCAGCGGAGACACGGGCTTGTCAAACAGGAAGTGGTCGGCGATCAGCTGCTCCTGCTCGGCGTCGGTCATGCCGTTCAGGGGGTAGTACTTGCCCTTGAACTCGCCCTCCAGGGTGGCCAGGGCTGTGGAAGCGGGACAATGTTAGCACTTGATTTAGCATTTGTGTTTGCGCTTGGTGTTAGCACATTTCTTAGCACTTGTTCTAGCATTTGCTTGAGTGCAGGGGTCACTGAGACAGCTACCCGAAGACAGCTGGGATAGGCTCCAGCACGCCCGTGACCCTTGTGAGGATCAGCGTATGCCATAATGGATGGATAGCTGGATTGTATATTATTGTATTTGGGTTCCCCCTTGTGTTGGTCGTGCCCCCCGCTGCCCAATCGCATCGCGTATCAATCAAGGGTTATATGCAATGTCAGAGCTTGTGTCACCATTTGTGTTAACACTAGACATTAGATTTTTTTTTGTGGGTGGGGGAATAAATACATTTGAATGAAGCAATTTTCTGACAAGCTAGTCACCCTCAATGGAGAGCTTCTCGATGCCTCTGCGCTCTCCGCGGCTGTTGTGTGGTGGCAGAGTGAAGCCCTTGATGCTGCGGCCGGTACGCACGCGGCTGGACAGAACGTAGTTGGGGTCCAGGTCATCTCCGCCCTGCGAGAACACAAAAGCGAGTTGTTTTAACGTGTCTCTTTAAATTGGAATCCAATGAAAAGGACAACAGTTCTGTAAACTCTTATTTCTTTGCTGTGAAATGCAGGAAAGACCTTTTTCACAACAGAAAACTTATAACTTTTAGTTCAATTGCCAAACTGAAAACTACAAGTTTATTGCCTTGAAATTTTGAGCTTATCGCAATTTTTTTTTTTTTTAGAGTGTACTTTTTTTCCTTCTCTGTGTACCATCTACAAAGAAGAACTTGCCTTTAGATTCTCGAAGTTCAGGTCGGTCTTGTGCTTGTCGCTGGGTCCATAACCATTGTGACGGTCCGAGATGACGGGGTCCAGCAGGTCCTTGAAGACCTCGTAGCTCTCCTCATCACCGGCCACGCAGCCCACAGTCATGATGAAGGGGTGTCCTGAGGAGGACGATGCCAAGGTTGGTGGCATTTTTTTTCTTTTTTTTTTTTCGTCCAAACTGCAAGGTGTTTGGAACTCGGCTTACCGGGGTTGTCCACGCCAGTCTGGATGATGTCATCCAAGGTGAAGCCGCTGGGGGTGGACTTGCCCCTCAGTTTCGCGTAGATGTCCTTGGTCAGTACCTGCATCATGAAGGGGGACAACAGTGGCTCTGTAGGTTTTATATATATATATATATCTCTCTCTCTCTCTCTCTCTCTCTCTCTCTATATATATATATATATATATATATATATTTCTCTATCCGCGCATATAAATATATACATTTATAGATGTACTGTATGTATACAAATGTACACGCTTGTGCATTCATATACAGTAAATACATCTACTGTAGCTGTGCGCTACCTTAGCCATGTGATTGTTGTGCTGGGACAGATCGGGGTACTCGTCGTCCGATGAGA